CAGTGCATTCTTGATCGGCATTTAAAGACATTTATCGGTTCTTAACATGGTTTCGAAAAAAAAAATTGCGGATAAGTTACAAAGTCGTGCATTATGTCGTTCTTGATAACTTGTCGCCATTTTGATTCTCGAATTGACATCTTCAAATGTCCAATGTTCATTGACGATTATTTTAATAATGGGTATTTTGTTGCGATATTGTTTATCAACGAAATTAGACTAGCCGGGAGCACAGTCGATGCTCGGATAAAGCTTTTTTTACAATTTGTTTTCAGTTGGAAAAGGGAAAATCATACAGCATTATATCCTTAAAAAGGTAATTTGTAGAATTTAGCGGTTTTAAACAAGGCGATGCAATCTAGTATAAATATATAAGCTGTTTCGTTGGCGCTAACATTTAATTCGATAAGTATCAAACTATTACCCATTTTGTACACGATAACGGCATTAAACTGATAACAAAACTGAAGTTAAAAGTAGAAATTGTATATAAGCCATACTGTTTTAGTACTAATGATATAACTATTATGTATATTTCTGTTTGTTTTTACTGTCTTTGTAACTGTAATTGTAACTGTGTACAGGTGATGTTTTTGTGTGTATATTTCGTGTGCATTTTTGATGTTATTAGGCACGCGAAATCACTGAGTATTTTACTGTGTGTATATGTATGCATGTGTGACAATAAATGAAATCAATCAGTCAATCAATTAATCAAATCCAAAGCCTAACGCTAGCTACCAAAAATACAAATTTAGATAATTAGTGTAACGCATACAGTTTTACCGGAAAATTATAACCATATAAAGATATCTGCGTAATAGACGTGCTAATATTTAACATACATATAATTGTTACAAATTTCAAAACAAAATACAACCGAAAACCAAATTCAAACAAGCAGTTTCAATATTTCTTGTCACGAATTATTTAAAAAGGCAATAAGCTAAGCTGTACAAAGCCGGCTTAGATAAGTCACGTAAAATACGTTTTATATTGAAACAATATATAAGCACTTCCGATGGCGCTAAAATGTAATTCGATAAATTTCAAACTTTTAAAAAGGGAATGAAATATATCCCATTTTGTACACAATAACAGCATTAAACTGATATTAAAACTGAAATTAAAAGCAGAAATGTTATTTAAGCCATACTGTTTTAGTACCTATGATATAATTATCATGTATATTTCTGTTTGTTTTACTGTCTTTGTAATTGTAACTGTGTACAGTTGATGTTTTTGTGTGTATATTTCGTGTGTATTTTTTATGTTTTTAGGCACGCGAAATCACTGAGCATTTTACTGTGTGTATATTTATATATATGTGTGACAATAAATGAAATCAATCAGTCGATCAATTAATCAAATACAAACAGCCTAATGCTAGCTATCAAAAATACAAATTTAGATAATTAATGTAACGCTTAAAGTTTTACCGGCAAACTGTAGCCATATAAAGATATTTGCGTAATATACGTCCTAATATTTTAACAAATACAAACTTCAAAACAAAATACAACCAAAAACCAAATTCAAACAAGCAGTTTCAATTTCTCTTAACATGAAATATTTAAAAATGCAATAAGCTATACTTTGATTTATTATCCCATGTTGTACACGATATAGGTATTAAGCTGATAATAAAACTTAACAGCAGAAATGCAAAGGCCTAGCGTTAGCTATCAGCCTAACACAAATTTGGATAATTATTGTAACACTTTTATCGAAGCAATGATCAGACCCCATACTATGTGTGCCCCTATTTACCAAGAATTAAATAAATCTGAACAAGTGTGTCAAAATTGTAAATCTGTAGATATACTTTTTAAAGACAGACACTAAAAAATAATCTTATTTTTTTTTTCTCGTGACACATAGCAAAATTTAAATCACTTCCTTTCAAACTGTTTAATATATATTTTTTTACCTATTGTAGCATGATCATTTTGTTACTTGCGAACAAAAATCTCATTCAAAGATTTGAAATCAGTATTTGAAATGAAAAATAAAAGTTCATTTCAGTCGAGGAAATGGTGTTAAGTCCCGAAAAGTAGAGCATAAGTATAATTGGCGCAATGATATAACAGGAAGATTAACCTTTTTATGTACAAACAATCAAGGCTATTTCATAAAAAAATACATTGGTTCGTTTTAAATGTTTGCCAATGTTGTCTATTACCTTTGAGAAAAATAACTTAGTACCAAGCTCGATTTGACTTTTTTTTTGATTTGATTTCCAAGATCAAGCAAACCATTTGTTTTTTACTCGTTTAAAGAAAGATCTCCTTCAGCCTTGGTTTACATTGTCTTCAGCTTCAATGTTGTCTGCCTTTCTGTTAGTTGTCATCAAGCTCTGGGCGAATCATCAAGTTCATGTATTGCTCAGCCTTTGGCAGCAGTCCCATGTACGTCTACAGGGAGGGAATAATTTTACCAATGTATGTGTGAAATCAACGTTTTAATTGGCACCTTGCGAAAATTTGCTAAACACTGATACCGAACGAATAAAAACGCATCGAATTTATCATTGATATGCTAATGATTGTATGATTCGATGGTCAGAGCGGGAATTTTGAATAGGGAGTGGTATGTGATGCTGGAGGAAAAACGGCCAAGCGATCCCGTTAGCTAGGTGGTCGAGTGGTAAGACATCTGCACTAAAGCAGGAGGTCGTGGGTTCGAGTCCCACCCGAGTGATTTTTTTCCAACTTTCACTTGGGAGGTAACACACTAAGTATACAGTGTTTATACGTCGGAGAAGGGCAAAAACCTCATTTGGTTTATATCACCCCGAAGCAAAATTTCCATCTTATAAAAGATGACCTCTCTTCATCCATTTAGGCACTATAAAAGGAGACCATGGCAACCAAAACGCCAATCGAAGGGATTGGCATGGACGTACCGAGGGGGAGGGGGCACTTGACCCTTCCCTCTATAAAAAAATAAAAATAAAAAAGGAGAAAACAAAATAAAAAAAGAAAGAAAGAAAAAGAGGCGCGGAGTGATAATGCCATTAATTGAATGGGTTGGAATGGGGTGGGGTTTAAATGTCCCTGCCCCCCCCCCCTCGACAAATGATAAATTGAGAAAATGCTGGAAAAGTACGGAATTTCGGGGGGAAATGTGCTTGCCCCCTCTAGAAAAAAAATCCTGGTGACGCCCATGGGGATTGGGTTAAACCACAACACCCATGCACCGTCATACCGAAAGATCAGTACGGTTCTGGATCAAAATATAATGATAATAAAAAAACAAAAACAAAACGATTGCGCCTCGCATGGCTAAATAGCATAGCATGTCCAGTGTACTGCTTGCATAATTCAAAACTCACATGCTCGATTGGGTTGTCAGCCATACTGGTCAGACGAGTCACTAGTTTCTTGAAATGTGGTCGGTTAGCTGGGTCTTCCTGCCAGCACATCAACATCAGGTTGTAGCTGCAAAACAACATCTCAGGTTGTCGTTTACAAATGACTAGTAGCTACTACATATAATATTGTATTTTCAATTGTGACAAAATTGTGTGGAAATAACGTGAATATTGTTTACGAAAGTCGATTTCCAAATAGTGCACGTGTTAAGTTGAGATAGAAAAAAATTGACGCATGGATTAAATTGTTTAACCATATTAGCGATTCAGTGTACACATCTTACATGTCATCATTACAGTTGCTTGGCTTAGGCATCCGGTATCCATTCTCCAACCTCGACAACAGGTTCTTCGTTTTAATATTTTGGTAAGGAGTGGCACCTTGAAAGAATATCATACAAAAAATTCTTATTAAGAGAGCATTCACAGACGGATACTTAGCTTTTTTTACAGGTCAGTTTTTCATTTTGAGAGCGGCACAGTTTTAATGTTGCGAGCGGGGCATTAGTTGTGCTTTCGACGGGAAGATTTTCATCTCGATAAGTAATCTGGAGAGGAGCACTATTGTTCTCTGATGGCCAATTTCCCATCTCGAGAGGGGCACAATTTTTAGGACTGAGAAATATTGACTTGAGGAGACACATCTACTTCAAGCATAGTCCCTTCGGAGATTTTTGAATAAATGTAACCTTCAAATAGCACGGGAGAAGTTTCTATCATTAAACAAAATCCATACATTACCCAGGGTCGCAATTTCCCATAGAAGGATTCCAAATGACCATCTAAAAAGATAGAATAACAATAATAAAGCTTATGATGTGTGACATGTTTGAAATGAATATTATTATTTGCATTCAAAATGTAATCTTATATACTTACACGTCACTCTTTGATGTGTACGTATTGGATGTCAACGATTCCAGAGACAGCCAGCGAGTAGGAACACGAGTCTACGAAGGCGAAATAAGAAAAATGATATTTAATACTTCCACTTTTGAATGATGGAAAACAGGTTGGCCCGAGTATGTTATAAAAACTATTAGGTTCTACTTAAAGCATTCATGTGAACAGTCTTGACAGAAATCCATTCTGTTTTATTTTGCCCTAAAATACCCCACCAATTTTGGAATTTCTTTTACCTGTGAACTCTGCACGTAGATATCTTCCCCTCGTGATAAACCAAAATCAGAAACTTTGGCAACCAGTCTATTATCAAGGAGGATGTTTCTTGCAGCCAAATCACGATGAATCACCTGCGAAAACCAAGCATGCTTCCGAAATCAACGGTTCTACAAAAACAGTCTCCATTTTGACACAAAAACATGTTGAGAAAGGTATAGGCCTATTCATTTTGCAGCACATCTGTACCTTTCTCGACTTTTCCCTGTGGCACAAAATGCCCAATTCCTTTGGATTCCCATGATATTTCATAAAGGGTGACTTCTAAAATGTCTAAAACTGAAATATCTGCGTCTTCAGTTTTAACCTTTAGCTTGTTGGCTGCAATGCCCGTGCACTCTGAAGAAAATTTGGTTTCGTTTATACAAACAATAATTATTCCACTTAAAACAAGACCAATACTAACCCCTATTGTAGCGAGGTGTTGCACTCCTTTGGCAACATCCAAAGCAAACTGAATCAGTTTCTCAGAAGACAGAGTTGACTGTTCATCGTCCTCCTGGGATCGAGCGTTTCTCAGGTATAGGTGCGCAGATCACCGTTCGGCATGAACTCCAAGGCCACGTACAGAATGTCTGGTGAATGAGGAATGCTTTATCCTGATATTGCATGTACTCTAGGTCTGTATGTCTCTAATGGCTTCAGGCAATATTTGTATGTCTAAAGTTTGAAATGTTAAAAAAATCTTATTAATGGCCACTGCTGTATTGAAAATGACTTTATTGTCTTCGAAAACTGAACATCATGACATACAATCATGTGTTGTCAAAGAAAGTTCGTCAGACGGGATAAATTGACCTGGGGAATGGTGTCATTACTATAAAGTACAATTTTACATGTAAAATACTAGAATAACTGAAGCTGATGCAGGATTAACGATTTCACTTACCATCATTATGACAGGCACCAAGAATACTGACCACGTTCGGGTGCTGTCCAATTTTGGTCAGAGTCCGGAATTCCTCCATGAAATTCTGCCGATCGTTGTCAGAAGCGTTTGCTGTGACAAATTAAGAAATTTGAAGCTTCCAAAAAAATATAGAATAAAAACAACGGAACTGAGAGATTTCCTTACGATTGTTTATAGTTAAGATGTAAAAAGATAATAATGGAATAAGAAACTGAGATTTTTGAACAATCAATATACCTTTAAAGAAACTGATGGAATAAATGAAAAATCTAGTGGTGCTCGTTGATAAAAACAAAACGTACCTTTCAGTGTCTTTATGGCAGCTTTTGAGATTTCTCCTCCAACCAACACTGCTCCATCACGAACCTCACCGAAATGTCCCTTGCCCAAAACCTTTACGCCGATCATCATACTCTTAAATGGAATGTTCCAGCTCTGCGCCCAGGATGGCAGACCTTCATCCTCACAGGTTGGTGATGACATATTAACTGCAACTACTTCATGTGAAGATGGGCAATCACCATCGACATCCTCATAGTCTGGTATCTCTTCAGGAGATATCTGATTCTCATACGTGGCCTATGAAATGCACACAATGAAATATTTCGACAACGCATTATTTTGGTGTCCCTCTAGATGATTCACAGTTTTTAATGATACACTTCATATTTAAAAGGTAATATAACTAAATGTAGAGCATGATGCTGGTAGTATGGAATTAACAAGGAAGAGTAAAAATGAAAGATATAAACACATGTATACTGGGAACCCTAGGTTTATGTAATGAACCAAAAGATGAAACAAAGGAAGGACATGCGTGAATCAACATTCAACCATTCTCATATATCATGATCATAGCAGCCTATTTATCATCTTATCTTGACACCCACCAGTTCCTGTCCCCCTGCTGGTGTGTCTTTGCTGGCTGTCTTCTACCCTTTAGATGACGACGAAAACAAAGGAACAAAACCACAGCCAAGACAATCACGATGATGATGATGACAGTAACGACAAGGATCAGAACTGTCTGGCTATCAGTTGTTCCTGATTGAAAAAAAATTCCCAAACAATATTAAAAAAATTAAATATTGCTGATGATTTTGAATAATACTTCTAGTTAATGACAAATAAACGTTACTACAGACACCATGAAATCATGAGATGTTCAGGTTTTCTCGGCTATTTCAAAACGTTTATCACTCGAATTCATCGTTGCTGATATTTAAATTCATCCAGCAACATCGATTTAGTGCGCTTCCAATGTTTAATTTCGTTCTTTTTTCAGACAATTTCAAATTTAGTTTGAGCACACGTTTTCGTCCCAGAGTATTCAATTTCGTCTCGTCTATGCCAAACCCTTTTATTCAGAAATCAAGTTCGTCTAATTGCTTTAGATAAGACGATTTCGATCTCTGAATGCTGCAATTTGGCAACAGCTTAGACGAATTTGATCTGTATTGACGAATATTGTCGACCCGGTGACACAAGCGAGTGACCGAACTATGAAATTGAATGGTTAATGACTACATTGGTTTTGTTTAATAAAAACTCGATTTTTTTTCTTGGACGAAATTGAATGTTAGAGTTGGTAATTTGGGATGAACAAATGTGTTAAAATAGCTGGGAAAAACTATATTTCAAGCAGCATAAACGCTCGCACATTTTCACCTGCGATCGTGGTAGTTGATTGTGTAGTTACTGTTGCTAGGTTCTTTTTTACAGGTATTGTTGTTTCCATCAATGTGGTTGACTCAGATGTTGATTCAGTGGATAATTTGGCTGATTCAGTTGCTGAAGGACTCCTGTTAGTTGTTGAGGGTGCTGTTCCAGGTGGGGTTGTACTAATAGTTGCAGAACTCCATGGTTCTTATTAAATAAAACAAACACAAAAAACAACCGATCACTTCATTGTGAGGTCACTTCAAACTAGAAACACAATCTAACAATCCGAGTTTCAATATTAGAAATTTTCGTTGGTTGAATTACAAATGCTGGCTGATTTGGCAGACAACTACATTCAATTGAACGAATATTTTGTTAGAATAGAAAAGAAAATCACGAATTTCAGCCTTTCAGTTGGAATTATTTTGTATTAATATTTGAAAACAAAATGCGTCTTTTCGGGTTTAATAAAATAGTATGCAATTTATTTACGCGGACAAATTATTTCTTGATTGATGCCGCATCAGTTAAAAATGTGAAAATGGAACATCGATTTAGTTAAGAGAGGATACATAATTATGATGAAGTGAAAAGGATTTCTGAAAATATGAATAATAAAATGAATGGTTAATTGTGTGTCAAGCATTTTGTGTTGCTGTCATAAAAATTATGCAAGTTGCGTTTCTGCCGTCCAGGCTATTTTCTTCCATTCCTCCTTTATCAGAAGCCGAAGCTGCTCCAGGTTGGCAGTGTTGTGTAGGCGCTTGCCTACTATCCTTCATATCGTTGTCGAGAACGTTGGCTAGTGTGAGGGCGCCCTCGCCAGCCTTCTATGCCTGTGCTCTACCTGAACCGGATTACTCGTCGATGAATATTTGAGCGGGCGCATCTCTCTTTAGCCGCAGGACATGGCCGAAGAGTCGCCATCGTGCTTCAAGGGTCCTGATGCTGAGCGGACAACACGTGCAGTATTCGGTAGAGTGCCGTGTACAATGTACATGTTATGGCCACCGCATGACAATCAATCTGTCGTAATTGGCGTTGGCGGAGTGAGTCCAATTGATCGTTTTGTTTTGGGGTAAGGCCTGCAGGTACCAATTTTGTAGAAGAGTACAGGGAACACGAATAGTCCAGTGAATATGTGACAAAATATCCATTCTATTACAGCACTTTTTTGTTTCATAATATAGGTTTTCCCGGCCAATTTTCTAAAATGTTCATTCACTTCTGAAAATCGGTCATTCGTTTTCGTCTAAGTTTGAATGCACGTCTTTAATCCCATTTCAATTTAACGAAAGTTCAATCGTTTTCATTGTCCGTGCATTCGGTTGTGAGAAACAGACGGCCAATTACGTTACCTGTGCGTTTATTTACGACAGCGTACCTTTTCGCGTAGAGTTCTGGCATACAATTTCGTGAATGCAATCAAAAGTACGTTTTTCTCATTCAAAATAGCAGATTGCATCACATAATATTAAACTAAAAGTAAAATAGAATGACCAATGTTTGAAATCGCCCTATCAAAGCGAAAAGAAAGTCATGTAAACGAATCTGAATGAGCATAAACAAAATGTGCTGCTCAATCACTAAATTGATTGAACTGAAATGGAATCGAATGCTCTGGTAGCGGAAATGAAATGCGTGTTCAGAGCGATTCTCAAATTCAGTCGAAAATGAATGACCGATTTTCAAAAGTGAATGAACATTTGAGGAAATTGCCCGAGAAAACCTATATTTCCCATTCCCCATGGGCAAATGGGACTTTTTGAGCCCTGGCGTGAATGGGAGTAATAACGAATCTCGCGTGATGTTAGTTTCACCAATCAAATGACAAGGATCTGTATGTCGGTTTTATAATATATGAATACTTTCACACGGTTGAGTTGCTGGATCGGACCAATGAAATGCCGCGGTTGCCTGATGAATATTTATGAGGTATTGTAAATTCTTGTATCTTCCGGCCCCCAAAGCCGACCAATGTTATGTAATTATTTGAATGGTATTGCGCCTTGGTTTTAGATATTGTTTTCATCAGAAATTTTGATATTGACTTTTTGCTTCAAGCATGCCAATGTTGTTTCTACACAATTCCAGTTTTTCTATTGTCACACCTAAGCTGTTTCAACTCATATGCCATGGAGTGCCAGAAAGCTAAAAAAAAAACCATTGAGGATTGATTTCACGTATGTCACAGCTTACATACCTGGAGGGAATACGGTAGCATCAATGTCTGTGTTGCAAGTCACTCCTACATCGTAGTAATGGCCAAAGGAAGTGTTGAACCACCCACTGTGCTCGCATTGCTCGATGCTTTCTTCTGTGCCCTCGCAGACAACATTGTCGAGAAGAATAGGTCCTGATCCTTGGCCAAAGTGAGCCCTACGCCAGACCCGGGATGCAGAAGGGTAGCCCAGCTGTCGACAGGTAACATTCGCTTCTCTGATGGTCCAGCCGTTATGGCAGATTGTACCCCAGAAGCATTTGTAGTACACTTCCACTCTTCCTTCATTTGGAACGATCCCATTTACGAGTCTCACGGAAACTACTGAAAGGAGGAGAATTTACAAGATAACTCCTCATTCCAGCGCTTCAATAAATGCAGTAAAGTATCAATAAAACACAAAATGCATAATAACAGGATAAAAATAAGACAATAACTATTGTTCCTTTTGGTTTTATGTATCGGGAAGGCTGCCTTTAGGCTAGTAATCACAGTTAATTAAAGATTTTTATGTTTTTATTTCATTCTGTATTTTCTTAATTCCAAAGCGAGTTTCACACTGTTCATAACGTTGGAGAAAAAAACCCAAACAAACCTGACATTCCTTTTGAGGCGGTTACTGCGTTCATCAACCACCGTGAACTCTTTCGAACCCCTGCCATTAGATAGCTACTCAACTTACTTGGTTCAGAGGTTGAATTGACGTGGTTGTCTCCGCACGTCACTGCAGCATCTTCAGCGTGACTACATCCATTAGGCAACCATCCACTGTGATTGCATTGGTCAATGTTGGATTCGTTACCATTGCAAGCAACAATGCTCAGGACAATAGGTCCTGATCCTTGACCAAAGTGACCACTCTGCCAGGCCTGTGATGCAGGAGGGTAGCCGAGTTGCCGACAGATGACGTTGGCATCTTCAATGCTCCAGCCATCGTCACAGACAGTGCCCCACTGGTCTTGGTAGTACACTTCCACTCGGCCTTCATAAGGGTTGCTACCATTAACAAGACGCACTACATGTATAGCTACAAAGAAACAATTCACACAATTGTTAACGAAAATGTCGTGTCTTGTTCCTTGGAAACTCTACGTGCTTCAGTGAGTTGGGAACCTTTGTTAGTGCTCTTTCACAAAACCTATACATTGTAATTCTCTTTTAGTTTGAAATAGAACACAGAATGTAAAAAGCTTTCAAAAACCTTTTTTATTAAAAAAAAAGCACTAGGAATGTAATTTTTGAAATGCAGTCCTTGAAAATATACTTTCGTTTCCTATGTAATTTTCAATTTTCGTTTTGCCATTTTTAGGGGCACTTTGGTATCTATTTTGTTTTTAGGCTAATGCAAATTTAACTATTTTTGAACAAAGGTGTGATGTCAGTTTACTACGCCGGAAACCCTGAACGTTATAGCTGTTTCAGCACTACAAGTTGCCAGAATTTTGAATGTTTTGCTGACATAATTTTTGTTCTTTGGTGATTTAATGTGTCAGTACATGACAGAACGCCAATGAGCAAATTTGTGTGTCGCATGCTTTTAAGTAGTAAATTTTGGGGTTCACAATTTCAGCTGAAAACCCCTAAACTGAACAGTGTCTTCCTGAAATGACATCACAGCAACAGCGCCTTCGGTTGTCTGGAAAAACATGAATCACTTTAAATATTTAAAGAAGTGCACTTTTGAATACAATTAACCAAAAAAGGGATGATAATTAGTTTTCACACATATCAGGGGAATAGAAAGTTGCACAAATTATGTTCCTCAGACAAATTCATGTCATGAACCCTTTATACGGGTACGGAACGTGCACACAACCTTGTTTTACGTTTACATTTGTACATGTACCATTAACAGCGTCCTCTACGTGGCCGGGTAATTTAGGATTTTACCGAATGGTCATCCCCATTACCGACACAGATATTTATTTTGCCAATTAAAACTGGTTTCATTTCGAAACCCTTCCAATATAGAGACTTTGTGCAGTTGCTCATTCAGTCAGCAATTTTTTTATTTTAACAATGTAACAGTATCAAACACTGTGAACGATAGCATCAGCTAGCCGGCCATTTCTACGCCATGTCATGTACACATGAAATGATAAACATTGATGTTAACGTTACTAATGTCAAATTCCCAGTAAGTGAAAATATGACGTAAATGGTTGTTTAAAAGACACTTAAACGTACTACCTGACGAAGAAGCTGCTACGTTACACGTCACTCCAACATCATAACTGTGCCGGGTACAGCTATGACTGAACCAGCCACTGTGATCACACTGATCGATGGTGGATTCATGTCCATCACAGTGAACGTTGGCCAGGAGAATCGGCCCTGATCCTTGGCCAAAGTGAGCACTCTGCCAGGCCTGCCTTGCAGAAGGGTAACCGAGCTGTCGACAGATGACATTGGCATCTTCTATGTTCCAGCCATAATCACAAATAGTTCCCCACTGACATCTGTAGTAAACCTCCACTCTACCCTCATGGGTGGTGCTCCCATCTACAAGCCGGACTGCAACTATTAAGTTAATGTTCACACACACACACACACACACATTTTATTTGACAGTCACACGTTGAACCTTCAAACGAAAATTTCTGAGCAAATATGTATTAAAATGAATGTCAACGTTCAAGATAATAATGCCAGGCCACTGTTGCAGGAGGCAGGCCAAGCTGTCGACAGATGACATTGGCATCATCAGTGCTCCAGTCATTATCACAGACAGTGCCCCATTGGTCTTGGTAGTACACTTCCACTCTACCTTCGTAAGGGTTGCTACCATTGACTAGACGCACAGCAACTGAAAGAACAGGCAATTATTGATTTCAACAGCCATCACCCTATTAGAGCAAAACGGATGAAAAGGTGGAGCAAATAATATAAAGCAATCAACTTTTATCCTGCTGATTACCATATATCAATGTTACCTGGGTGGCTTTCAAATGACCATATGTACATTGTATTTTCCTTTGAAAGGAGACTATTCCCTTAATAAAGAAAATAACACTTTGGCTATAATTATTTTATGCAAATCTTACAGCTTCATACACTTTCTGGTTTCAAATTTCTGTCAAGCTTCTATCCTCGAAAATTCCATTTTATATTATAATTAGCAGCTCACCAGGCTTAGGATGCGTGACATTGCATGCAACACCAACATCACCTCCATGACTACCTGCGTCATGTGTATACCATCCACTGTGGTCACATTTGACGATACTTGACTCATGACCATCACATTCAACGTTGCCCAGGAGAATCAGCCCAGAACCGCGACCAAAGTGCGCATTGCCATAAGCCTGGGATGCAGAAGGGTAGCCGAGCTGTCGACAGACGACATTAGCATCCTCGATGGTCCATTCTCCATAATCAGAAACTGTACCCCAATAGCATTGATAATATAGTTCCACTCTGCCTTCATATGGAATGTTGCCATCAGCAAGGCGTACTAGGACTTAAAAATTAAGCCATGATTGTCAAAAATTTAATACACGTATTGTAGAACCCCTCTGTAGTACAACCCCTCCAGAGTGAAGTTTTTGTAGAAAGTAACACCCCCATAAAAAAATTGGAATTGGCCAAAGACAACACAGAGTGCATGTGAGTGTGCCTTGTCACTTTCACATATTTTGGCAAAGTGACCAGACGTACTTACAACAGTGTTCTATTTTGTCTTTGCCCAATAGGTATGTACAAATGTTTCTTTCTTTTTATTCACATCTAGGTTCCTTTATTTCTGTTGTTCACATTTTCATTTACTTGGAGTATACAATCAATGACTTGAGTTGATCAATTGGTTGAAGGTAATTTGTTCTTTGAATTTGTCAACTTTACTCTTTTGCCAAGTTCCCTATAGATTTGACATGATTGAAGTTTGTTTTATGATGCTTAGATATTTCCATTATTGTTTGTATATTCACTTTTTGTAACTTTGGATGAGATTTAAGATGATATAAGTTTGATTAGTTTTTAGCAACTTTACTTTAGTTATTCACTTCAGTTATTCATGGAAAGTTTCACTAAGTTTCCTGGATTTGAGGAAAGTTTGGTGAAAGTTTGTGGAGTTGATAACTTAGATTTCATTTACTTAAGAAACTGGACCATGTATGTTTTAGTAAACTGTGTTTGTAGATTTTAACATTGAATGTAAGTTTCACCATTTAGCCAAGGAAACTTCCATTGCAAGCACTGAGTGTATATAGATAAGCTGAAGCATGGCCTTGCCACGTTGTGGAGGGCGAATACTAATTAGGCTAGCTAGAACAATGACTTGCTTGTGTGTGTAGAATGGAAAGACCACCTGTCACACAGTAAGGGCAGCACTGGGGGAGCAGTAGTATGCCCCAGGCCATTGACTTGGCTGGAGTTGAGCCATGCAGTGGAAAGTCTGTTGCTATAGCAACAAGGGTGCTGGCCAGCCTGAGTAGTGTGTTTATCTTTAAGACATGGCAGATAAGAGTTCTTGTAGTTGTGGCCATGAGATTATTAAGTTAAGTTTCCCCTATAGGTTAGATAGTACATGTAGTTGGCCTTTAGTTTTAAAGTGATGTTTCTCCTGAAGTTTGATAGTTTTGGCCATACTGATTTAAAGCGTTGTTATTTAGGAAACTGACTTAGCCTTTTTCTTGTACCTTGTTTGTTTATTATGATGTTTGAATAAACACTTTCACATATTTTGGCAAAGTGACCAGACGTACTTACAACAGTGTTCTCTTTTGTCTTTGCCCAATAGAAATAACGTTACCACATGACAGCTGGGTAACAAATCTGGCGATCTTGCCAGGACGTGGTAAATGCATGTGAATGCATTACTGCATGGCAGCTATCCTCGTGAACGTCCCTGGCAGCAGATAGTGCCCTGGAACGGCAGGAGGCAGTGAGGACGACCGGTTGGCGTCGGGAGTGAAGGGAGACACCTTTGACCTGATTCAGTGACGCAGTTGAGGACGGAGCAGACGAGAGGATGGAGGCCCTGCTAGCATTGCAGCAAAGTGTAGTCAGCCAGATTGGCTGCCTGCAGGAGGAGCAATTACAGCAGGTGTGCACAGAGCTGGGTGTTGATGAACACACTGCCAGCAAGGAGAGCGCACGCCTGGCCCTCATCCGGAGGTTGACCCGCCACCTTAACAGCGAGACCATGGAAGACATGGAGGACAAAGGTCAAAAGGTCTTCGAAGACCTTCGTGACTTCCTGAAGACCATCACTCCAGGAACGTCAAGCGCCTCCAAAGACCCCCCAGCCACCCCAGAGTCAAGCTCGACATCCACAGTGGAACCGGCCCCCAGCCCCCCTGCCCTACCAGTGAACCAAATGGTTGGCCTACTGAAGAAAGAGTTTCGAATCAGCGGCCAGGTTGGGGAGCCTGGTCAGAAGGACCGGCTCTCCCACAGTAATCTCATCATGCAGATTGAAAGCGGTTTGCGGAAATCATACAAAGAGGTCGAGATTGTAGAGGCTGTCATCCGGTCCATCAGCCCAGGCATGCGCTTGAGGAGCTACCTGGAGAGCACAGAGGGGCTAACCTTGCCAACCCTTCGGGAGATCCTTGAAGCGCACTATAGAGAGGGGAACGCCACAGAGATATACCAAGAACTCTCGTCTGCCTCGCAGGGGAGTACGGAGTCAGCACACGACTTCTTGGTGAGGACCCTCGACCTCCGACAGAAGATCCTGAAGGCATCAAAGATGGAGTCCACCATCAAGTATGACCCTGGACTGGTGCAGAACATGTTTCTGCACTCATTGAATACTGGTCTCCAAAACGACAACATTCGAGGCGAGCTGAAGCCATTGCTCTTTGACCCCACCACCTCAGACGAATCTCTCTTTCGACAACTTAAGATTGCAGAAGGGAGGGAGATCGTGAGACTGGCCAAACAGAAGAAGGCCAAGACAGCCGTGAAGGTCCAGGAAGTGAGTGCCGTGGAAAAGCAACAGCTGGACCTGATGAAGCAACTTCAACAAATTCAGGCAGACTTGGCTGCTCTCAAAGTCTCCAACAAGCAAGCAGCTGAGAAGCCCAAGTCCAGTGAAGGTGGCAGCAGAAACCCTCCATCCCGCGAATGGGGCTGCAATAGCTGTCGTCAAGCTGGGAAGGGTCCAGAGTGTGACCATTGCTTCGCCTGTGGCAGCTCTGAGCACTTCAGAAGGGGCTGCAAGCAACGGAGACAGACCAAGCAGTCGGGAAACGGCAGCAGGGCAAGCGGAGGGGATGCGTAACTGCCCTGACCTCACAACAATCCCCAACAATTCTTAATGATCAACCCCAACCCCATTCACCTAAACCACCACACCAAACGGATGTGCCACAGAGCGTGGCCCTCATGGCCTTGTCAACACAACTCACCCAGCAGGGCTCCAGGTTAGTCAAGCTTGTCGGCCCAAAGTGTACCATCCGGTGCAACCTAGGAGGAAGATCCACGAAAGCCCTTTGGGACACTGGCGCCCAGGTTTCTCTTGTGTCTTCTTCATGGGTCAGCCAGAACATGCCTCATGCAGTTGTTCGACCAGTGACCGACCTGCTTGAGGCTAATACCCTGATGGTGACGACTGCCAATAATGCCCAGCTCCCGTACGATGGCTACATTGAAGCAGAATTTCAGCTTCCAACTGGAAGCCACCAGCCCTTATTGGTTCCAGTGTTGGTGACAAGTGACCCCCTCAGTAACCCTATCATCGGCTCCAATGTTCTGGAGGAGTTAGTGCGAGACCCTGAGTATTCAGCCAAATCACTGTTGGCAGCCATGGAGGACACCTTTCCTGCCACTGGGAAGCAGAGTGTGCAAGCTTTAGTGAACCTACTGCAACAGCCAGAATCATCAAAGCTCTGCACGGTGAAGACAGGCAGGAGAGATGTCACTGTGAAGAAAGGTTCGTGTGCCAGTATCCAATGCCGCGTTCACACCGGAGCACCTGCATCTACGACGGTGATGTTCGAAGCTGATGTAGAACAACAGTGGTCGGATGGCTTGGAGATAGGTGATGCGGTTGTGACAATCCCTAAAGGCAGCTCTTGTCGTATCAACATCCTTGTCTCTAACCCTACTGGCCAGGATGTCACCATTGGGAGAAGAACCTGCCTTGGCACTCTACAGGCAATCAAATCAATACTCCCCGCAGAAGTCAAGGGTGCTCTACAACCTACAACCTCAGCAAAGATGGAAGCAGGCACCGCTGCAAGCGTGTCCAACCTCAACAGTAACAGTACCTGGGACCCTCCCATCAACCTTGAGCATCTTTCCGAGGAGCAACGGGTCATAGCAGCAAAGATGCTCCGGGAAGAATCCAGAGCATTTGCCCAGAACGAACAAGACATGGGAAGCATCGAGAAACTTCAAATGAGTATCACACTCAACGATAATATTCCAGTGCAACGGACCTATCAATCGATACCTCGACCCTTGTACCGTGAAGTAAAAGACTACATCACAGATCTCCTAAGTAGAGGATGGATCCAGAAGTCTTCTTCAAGCTATTCATCTCCAGTTGTCTGCGTGAGAAAGAAAGATGGATCCCTGAGACTGTGTGTGGACTACAGACAGCTCAATCTGAAGACCATCACTGACAGACAACCCATCCCACGCATACAAGATATGCTAGATAGCTTAGGAGGCAACCGCTGGTTTTCCACCCTAGATCAAGGCAAGGCATATCACCAGGGTTTCATGACAGAGGAAAGCCGTCATCTAACGGCCTTCGTGACTCCCTGGGGTCTTCATGAATGGCTTCGTATACCATTTGGGCTCAAGAATGCACCAGCCGTGTATCAGCGATACATGGAGTCCTGCCTTGATGAGATGAACAACGAGATCTGCATGGTTTACCTCGACGATGTTCTGATTTATAGTACAAGTTTTGAAGACCACGTCGAGAGGGTGAGAAAAGTTCTCCGTCGCATGCAGGAGCATGGTATGAAGTTAAGACCAGCCAAGTGTTCCCTCTTCCAACCACAAGTAAAGTACCTAGGACGTATAGTTTCAGCGGATGGCCATAGCATGGATCCAAAGGAGACGTCGGCACTTGAGGCCCTGAGGCAGAAACGACCAACAACCATCACTGAGGTCCAACAAATCCTTGGTCTTCTTGGCTACTACCGACGCTATGTGCCTAATTTCTCCAAACGTGCTAAAGTGTTGTACGATCTGCTGAAACAAGGCCAACCTGAGACTCAATGTGCTCCCAAAAACCACCATCAACGCAAGAACCTGAAGGGCAAACAGAGCAGGTCCCACAGACGAAAGAATGAACCGATAAGATGGGAGACAATCCATCAGGATGCCCTGGAGTCTATCCTCGACTGTTTGCAGCGACCCCCGGTAATGGCTTATCCCAACTTCTCTATCCCCTTTGTCCTACACACCGATGCATCCCAAGATGGACTCGGTGCGGTCCTGTATCAGAAGCAAGATGGGAAACTACGAGTCATCGGGTATGGTTCCCGGACGCTAACAGCAGCCGAGAAAAACTACCACATGCATGCCGGGAAGCTCGAGTTTCTTGCCCTCAAATGGTCGGTGACGGAACATTTCCGTGACTACCTGTACTACGCCCAACACACCACAGTATACACAGATAATAACCCCTTAACCTATGTCCTCACCACAGCCAAACTGAATGCCACAGGGCATCGTTGGGTTGCCGAGTTAGCTGACTTCAACTTGGAGATCAAGTACCGACCGGGTAGAGCCAATGGCGATGCAGACACCTTGTCCCGTATCCCACAGAGTGTCGAGCACCTGGAAAGTGTCCACACCGAGGCGGTATCCCCAGATGTGATGAAGGCAACCGGTCAAGGGATTACGGCTCAGTGTAATGGCCAGACAGCTTGGGCACATGCACTCTCCGTCCAAGACTCCACCACAGGAACAGTACAGACACCCATTCAGCAGTTCAGTAAGCAGGAAATCAAGTTGGCCCAAGAGGATGACCCTGGCATCAAAAGGGTAATACACTACAGGACCTTGGGAAAATTGCCAACCCGCAAAGAACGGAAAGGTGAGGCACCGACAGTCATATCACTTCTACACGAGTGGGGAAAGCTCCAGGTAGACGGTGACGGAATCCTCTGGCGGAAGACTGGTGTGCGCACACAACTCGTCCTACCCCAGAAGTTCAAGCAACTGGTCTACACCGAGCTGCATGATCATGCCGGGCACCTTGGGCCAGAAAGAGTAATCCATCTTGCTCGGGAGCGGTTTTACTGGCCTCACATGGCAGCTGAGATCGAACACTACATCACAAAAGTGTGCCGATGCATTATCCAGAAGAAGCCAGCCAAACAAACCAGAGCGCCCCTTGTCAACATCACCACAACGCAACCTTTCGAGCTTGTCTCCATCGATTATGTCCACCTGGAGCGGAGCAAGGGCGGGTTTGAGTACATCCTGGTGGTGGTGGATCATTTCACCAGATTCGCCCAAGCGTACCCAACTAGGAACAAAAGCGGGAAGACAGCAGCGGACATAATCTTCAATGATTTCATCCTGAAGTTCGGGTTCCCTAAAAGGCTTCACCACGACCAAGGGCGTGAGTTCGAGAACCATCTCTTTGCCAGGCTGCAAGAATACTCTGGCATAACGAACTCCCGCACGACACCATACCACCCCCAAGGAAACGGTCAAGTTGAACGCTTTAACAGGACTTTACTTGGGATGTTGAGGACCCTCCCTGAGACCCAGAAGAGCGACTGGAAGTCTGCCGTTAACAAGATGGTGCACGCTTACAACTGCACAAAACACGAGACAACCGAGTACTCGCCGTTTTACCTCTTGTACGGTAGACATCCTCGCCTACCAATCGACCTGGCTTTTGGGTTTGAAAGACCAGAGGGACATGGGGTCACCAGCCGAGAATATTCCCAACGCTGGCAGAACGAGATGCGAGAAGCCTACAAGGTAGCAGCCCAAAATTCACACCAGACAGGACAGCGCAGCAAGGCTTACTATGACCGGAGAGCACGGAGTACCATCCTAGCCCCAGGTGATCGAGTTCTTGTTAGGAATTTGGCAAGAGCTGAGGGCCCGTCCAAGCTCCGAGCGTACTGGGAAGACCGGATCTACCGAGTTGTCACCCAGAAGGGTGAAGACATCCCAGTCTATGAGGTTCAACCCGAGAGTGGTCAGGGCAGGAGCAAGGTGCTGCACCGGAACTTACTGTTTCCATGCGACTTCATCAGTGGGGACAACAGTCAAGTTGGTACTCATACCTCACCCCAGCAATCTCAGCCAAGACAGCCCAAAGCTGCTTCCAGACAACTCAGCACGAACCAACCAGATGAGAGCCAAGCTGTACAGCCGCCACCTGCAGAGAGTGAGGACGAGGACGATGATCTACCAGTCATCGTAATCCATCCTTCCACAGTCAGCTATGCAGAAGGAGCGACAACAGGGTACCCTCAAGCTGTCTCAACAGTCCCCCCAGTGGATGCAGCACTTTCGGAACACGGTGACTTGCAGTTTCCAGCCACTGATGCAGATGAGGGTACAGATATGCTTCAGCCCCAGGAAGGAGTAGAAACAACTACACCAGCTGTTCCATCTGCTCAACCTACTACAACGTCAGCCATGACAGAGGTAGGACCATCTCCAATGCTGGATAGTACGGAACATCAAGTGAGTGGCGTACCCCAAGAGGCAGGTGATGAGGAGACGCATCGACCTATCCGCAGCAGACACCCTCCAACAATGTTAACATACGACAGGCTTGGGACACCATCTTGTCAACCAACCATGCTGAATTCAGTGGCAGTACCAATGGCTCATCAGTACCCCCAGCAGCCAGTTGCACAAGTCCCGTCACAACAGCAGTTCTTTCATCCATTCTATCCTGGACAACCCTTTTGGCAGCATCCAGTGCAAGAGCCTTACCAGCCATGGAATCCTTCACCTTACTGGATGGAGCCTGGGCAAGTGAGACCATAAGCTGTAGTATAGCGACCATCAATGCAGAGACATGGTGTGGCAAGACAGATGACGAGAGACAGTTATCGTGTTGCACAATGAGCGGAAGGAGAGTCAGCAAGGACCAGGAGTACTCTCTTCAGAAGATGAGCGTGCACATGAATACCAAGTTCGCACTACAACCCAACAATGTTGAGATACCTGTCCATTCACCTGATTGGTCTGTGAGACCTAGGACGAGATATCCATGGAGATTGGATCCCCTCCACTGGATCTCATCCCGGCACCAGAGGAGCTACTGGGAAAACTCATCTGGACGGCAGGACGTTCCTGCGCGAATGGACTGTAATTCCCATGACTGTAGTGCGACGTCCACCATGATACTGTTTGGAAACAGGATTCTCCAAAGAACTGTGTATAGATCAATGTTTGACTGATAAAATGTCGTGATGACATTTCTTTTTTGGAGGGGAGTGTTGTAGAACCCCTCTGTAGTACAACCCCTCCAGAGTGAAGTTTTTGTAGAAAGTAACACCCCCATAAAAAAATTGGAATTGGCCAAAGACAACACAGAGTGCATGTGAGTGTGCCTTGTCACTTTCACATATTTTGGCAAAGTGACCAGACGTACTTACAACAGTGTTCTATTTTGTCTTTGCCCAATAGGTATGTACAAATGTTTCTTTCTTTTTATTCACATCTAGGTTCCTTTATTTCTGTTGTTCACATTTTCATTTACTTGGAGTATACAATCAATGACTTGAGTTGATCAATTGGTTGAAGGTAATTTGTTCTTTGAATTTGTCAACTTTACTCTTTTGCCAAGTTCCCTATAGATTTGACATGATTGAAGTTTGTTTTATGATGCTTAGATATTTCCATTATTGTTTGTATATTCACTTTTTGTAACTTTGGATGAGATTTAAGATGATATAAGTTTGATTAGTTTTTAGCAACTTTACTTTAGTTATTCACTTCAGTTATTCATGGAAAGTTTCACTAAGTTTCCTGGATTTGAGGAAAGTTTGGTGAAAGTTTGTGGAGTTGATAACTTAGATTTCATTTACTTAAGAAACTGGACCATGTATGTTTTAGTAAACTGTGTTTGTAGATTTTAACATTGAATGTAAGTTTCACCATTTAGCCAAGGAAACTTCCATTGCAAGCACTGAGTGTATATAGATAAGCTGAAGCATGGCCTTGCCACGTTGTGGAGGGCGAATACTAATTAGGCTAGCTAGAACAATGACTTGCTTGTGTGTGTAGAATGGAAAGACCACCTGTCACACAGTAAGGGCAGCACTGGGGGAGCAGTAGTATGCCCCAGGCCATTGACTTGGCTGGAGTTGAGCCATGCAGTGGAAAGTCTGTTGCTATAGCAACAAGGGTGCTGGCCAGCCTGAGTAGTGTGTTTATCTTTAAGACATGGCAGATAAGAGTTCTTGTAGTTGTGGCCATGAGATTATTAAGTTAAGTTTCCCCTATAGGTTAGATAGTACATGTAGTTGGCCTTTAGTTTTAAAGTGATGTTTCTCCTGAAGTTTGATAGTTTTGGCCATACTGATTTAAAGCGTTGTTATTTAGGAAACTGACTTAGCCTTTTTCTTGTACCTTGTTTGTTTATTATGATGTTTGAATAAACACTTTCACATATTTTGGCAAAGTGACCAGACGTACTTACAACAGTGTTCTCTTTTGTCTTTGCCCAATAGAAATAACGTTACCACATGACAGCTGGGTAACAGTATGTATTGAACTCATCCGGGAATTGCACAATTAGCTTGTCGTAAAATTACAGTTTCTGTTTGAATATGAAGTCAAACCTTTATTTGATATTTTTTTGTAAATATGTTGATCGTATGTGAGACCATTTAAAAAAAAAGCAAGTCGTGAAATTTCGACGTTGAATTCATTTTTTTTTTAGAGAATATACCGCTTGACCTTGTTTTTTGTGAGTAAAATATTGTTAAACTGCATGAAAGTAATGAGGACGAACATTGACAACTTCAACTTACCAGGAGAGGGGATGGTTACGTCACACGTCACTCCGACATCATAGTAATGATTGCAGTAAGTTACCACAAACCATCCACTATGGTCACATTGGTCAATGCGTGATTCATGTCCATCACATGCAACATCTTCGAGGAGAACCGGCCCAGAGCTACGCCCAAAGTTACTGAACCGCCAGGCCTGAGATGCAGAAGGGTAGCCGAGCTGTCGACAGACGACTCTGGCTTCTTCAATTCTCCATTCGATACTACAGACACTCCCCCATTGGCCTTTGTAGTACACCTCAACTCCACCTTCATTGGGTGCGTTCCCATTGATCAGACGTACTGAGACTGTAAGCAATTAAGGTGAGAGAGCGAGAGTGAAAGCAAGGAAATGACAGCAAGGAAAATGCAAGAGTTTAGTAAACAAGTTACTTGAGCCTCTGATACAATGAAAGAAAATGTAGAGGCAGAATTTTTTTTTTTAACAAATCTAAAACCGAGCTTGCCGGGGTAGGCCCCACAAAATCAACCACATTATTTATTAACTCAGATATCTGACTACAATACCAGTGTCAATGTTTGTTGTTAAAGTTTAGGGGCCGTATCATAAGTCCGACGCCTCATAGGTCCGACGCCTCATAAGTCCCATATTTCGGACTTATGAGGCAAAAAAATGTATTTATTCCGCCTCATAGATTCGACGCCTCTTAAGTCCGACGTCGGAAAAACGAGGCGTCGGACGCGTCGGAGCTATGGACCGTTACCAGCAAAGGTTCATTTGACCGACAAGGCAAGAACGAAATACGAGGTTGTATACTTACGAACGGCGCACTGTGCATAGAATGAACTTACTGGCCGCAGATCAGTCCGCCCGCGCGCAATTTTTGACGCAAGGGGTGATGCTACGGGCGTAAATCCGGGGGGGGGGGGGGACTGGTGCAGCCCTTTATGTCAATGTGTAATCGCTAACTCTAACAATTAGAGGCGCTAACATTCTGATATTTGACTTTGACCTATGAGGCGTCGGATTATAAGGCGTCGGACTTATGAGTCGTCGGACTTATGGACAGAAATAAAAGAAAATTTAATTGTCGGACCTACGAGGCGTCGGAGCTATGAGGCGTCGGACCTATGAGGCGTCGTATTTATGAGCGGACCCCAAAGTTTAGATAATGTTACTTTTCTTTGTTTGACTTAAAACATTTAAAGGTAGTGTTACCCGTCCTGGTTTAAATCTTATACCTTACCTGGTGGAGGAGATGCCAAGTCACAAGTTACTCCAGCGTCACTATAATGTCCGCAGCCGGAGGTAACATACCATCCACTGTGATGGCATTCGTCAATACTTGACTCATTGCCACGGCATGCTACATTGTTAAGGAGAATTGATCCTGATCCTTCGCCAAAGTGAGCACTGTGCCAGGCCTGGGATGCAGAAGGGTAGCCGAGCTGTCGACAGACGACATGGGCATCTCTGATGGTCCAGTCTTGACTACAGACTGTACCCCAGTGGCATTCGTAGTTGACTTCCACTCGACCTTCATTAGGTGCGCCCCCATTCACAAGCCGAACTAAAACTAGAAACGACAGAGGGAAAAAAATAATTTTCAATACACATTGAATAACTCGACGCTCCCTTTTGTGTCGATTTACCTGTGGAAGTATTCTGCTCAGTAAAATGATACATGAATTTGACTTACCAGGACATGGATCCAGAGAAGCACAAGTCACTCCAACATCCTGGCTGTGATCACAGTTATTGTTCAGCCATCCGCTGTGATCACACTGGTCGATGGTCGATTCTGTGCCATTACAAACAACACTATCCAAGAAAATTAATCCTGAACCTTCCCCGAAATAGGCATTCTGGGGGGCCGGTGATGCAGAAGGATACCCGAGCTGTCGGCAGATGACGTTTGCATCTTCAATGTCCCATCCGTTACCACATACCGTCCCCCCACTGGTTCTGGTAGTACACTTCCACTCTGCCCTCATAATTTGTGGTTCCATTGACAAGACGAACTGGAACTAAATGAGAAAGGAGACTCAAACGTGCGGGATTAAAGTCAATTAGCAACTTTATACCAACACTTTATCAACGTTGTAACTTACACATTTCAAGACATAATAATTACATAATATTTACATATATATGCATCTTTTCACTACAAGTAAGATAAGTGATCCACTTGAGTAACATTATGTGAACATCTTTGTGCCAGATTGCCTAAAGCAACCGTTTAAAATATTTTTTATGATTGGGATCCATGAGGGATATGATCAGAGGGCACTGGACGTGTGTTCTCATGTCTACATGGCTAGATCTAATTATGATTTCAATTAAGCTATCTGCTTGAAAAACAATGTGACTATGCGCTTTTAAAGTTAACCTTTATCGAGACGAAAACTTTCACTAGGAAAAGACAAACACCCTAAACCTTGCGTTGCAACAAAATAAACAAACACCCTAAGGCCAAAAAAAAAAGTCGCCGGTTTCTGGTATGCGCGCGCGTCGCCGTAGCCATGCGCGTCGGCAAAATGAAAACGTTTTTTTTTTCAATACAAGATGATGTCAAAAAACCGCCAAACTCACTGGTTTGACTGGAATCCTGCTGCTGCACAATTTTAACGTGTTTTTAGATGGGGTTATGATCGAGAATAAGCTTTATGTGGCCTCTCTGGACTCCCATATATTTGCACTAAGTTTAGTCGGGCACCATTTGCAGTCATCAGCCGACATTTGAAGCCAAAAAAAAAAAAAAAACTGGTAAAAAAAAAAAAAAAGCCGCGTCGCCGCACCACTTTTGGGGCAAGCTCCATACCAGAAACCGGAGACTTTTTTTTTTGGCCTAACCTTGCATTGCAATAAAACTTACACTGATATGCGTAAACTGGTTAATGATGTGGAAACCAAAACAACACAGTGGGGAAATGAAGGGGAAATGCGTGAAATATCCTAGCTATCAGATGATTAATTCATTGTGGGGTGGTTGGGAGATGCACCATTTGAGGATTTGAAGTTTGTCTAAAATAAACAAAGTAGCATGACTATGCATGCATCAAGTATTGGAAATGCCTTGGAATCTAACCGTTGCGTACACAGGGGCGGATCCAGGAATTTTCGCAGGGGGGGGGGAATTCATCGGTAAACAAATCTGAAATGTAGACAGTTTTTTTTTCTCCTGACACTTGGCCTCCGAAAATCAACAGATGGGGGGTGGGTGGGTGGGTGTGTGGTGGTGGGGGGGGGGGGGGGTTGGTCGCACTAAAAAGCGTCAACACAGCGTCAACACAGCGTCAATGACAGAAGCGTCAACACATCCAAAACTCATTCTGAATTGACAAAAAAGGTATATAAGTGTAAAGCATATAATAAAAGAGAATTTCCATTGGATTGAGTTTCCATTTTGTTGGTGGTGGTGGGGGGGGGGGGGGGGGGCTCGTACCATACTTTCAATGGGGTGCCCTCAAATCCGACGATTATTAACACTATATCACAGAATAGTGTACATGTACTCCCTAACCAAGCTGGCTCTGTCCGTATTTTGTGCAAGGGCGGACATTATTATCAGGATTTTTTTGGGGGGGGGGGGGGGGGATGTCAGAGCAGGATTTTTTTTTACAGATCCGCACCTGGTACGCAATCTAGACTGCATTGCGTTGCATTAATTTCTTTTCTGTCATTGTCAACCATTGCAATACCGAACACTAAAATGGAGGATTTGTATGAAATCATTGATCGTTTTTGATTAGGTACCTTTATGGGAACACCCCTAAAGGGTAAAACAATATACAGAAAACCAAACGACAGGTGTCACTGGGAAATGCAGGTCAAACAACCTGTTAAGACGCAAAATCAGAAAAAAAGAGCTTTGCCTCCGAGTGTAAAGTTGTCTTGCATTTGCATTTAACACACAGGGATGTGTTACAGATGAAAATTGAAGTGACTTCACCATGACGGCATCACATGTCATGTGACGTCGTATTAGAAGGGCAATTTTCTAGACCTACCGTATATCTACAGAACCCGTAGGTCTGATTGGATTGTAACTATAGGTACCCATGCCTGGGATGTTTTATAGATGAAAATTCAAGTGATGTCATCATCAAATGTCATGTGACGTCCATTGAAGGGGCATTTTGTTCTATATCTTCAGAACTATACGTTCGATTTAGTTGTAACTTGACATGTACGTATAATGTGCTGTGCTATAGAATGACATTTGAAGTGACGTCATCATGTGTTTATCACCCGCATAGAATCATTTCAAATATCCGAAACAGCTTTTGTTTGTCCATAAACATATTTTTTTATGGACTTGCGTTATACTTGAACTCAAAATGAATACTTAAATTACTCTCAAGATTGATATTCAAATGATTGATGTGATTTTTGTGTCGCCAATGCATGTATTTTGACAAAATCATTTATACTCGGGGAGACACAGGTTTATAAAATGAAGTGAGCTTGACACTATAGCAAACACAGGTTGCTTGTTTGATTTATTGAGTGCCAATTTAAACTAGGTTATATGTACTTATCCAAGGCTACTGTTCTAAGTGTATGATCTGTCCTTGGGTTGGAACTTTACGCATCAATCATTTTGTGACGTGTGCCCATGCATGCTTAGAACGTGGATAAAGTATTGTCTGGTTTAGCAGCTATCGTGTAAAGATATTACAGTTTACTTCTAGTCAAGGTATATATAATGACTTTATTTTACATACACTTCCAAGTGCATGTGGACATTTTTATTCTTTCAGACAGCTTTATATTCTGATAGTTTGTGCGTATACTGACGTATTTACGTATATAAGCGAACAATACCTACAGTATGTGCGCGCACAACCGTAGCCCTTGTACGCTGAAATGTTCCGTCAGCGAACCATCTAATATATGAATATTTATGAGTTAACTTTGAATAAAGCCGTGGAAACTTTTATGTGTGTGTTGTCTCATACACCATACCCTCTGGAGACTTGTGTACAAAAGGGAACAAAAGAGTGTATACGTCTCCACAGGGCATTTCTCATAGATGAATACGTTTCCACAGTATCACGAAATAGATATGTGGATTTTACTCAATTATAGGAATTTCCAAAGTGTGCTGATCCGTTGCAAACTGAAGTGTTTTACGTAAGGGATATTAAGTCTAAATTTCAGCCCAGGAAATTAATTCTAGACATTGCTGTGATAGGCCTTCACAATATTCCACGTTTCCTCGATAGCCTTTGAGGGAATTTCATGTTTCTAATCTAAAATATTTTATCTCAGTAACGCAGTAATGCGGAAGGTCATAGGCCTAAACGCTTCCGTACTACGGCCTTTTGGATTGTTACTATGTCCTCATAATTATTCACTCACTTATATACTTTAGAAAATAGTATTGAAGTTAAGGATGTGTCAGAAGAAATTTTCAAAAAATAAAAAATATACCAAATAGGCTATGGGAAGAATATATTACACGGCATGAATTAACAATTAAATGCAAATTAGGTATATTTAGGGTCAAAATTAACGATGGCATCCACCCATATCTTGTGATAGGTTATTGTTGACAACGTGGAATACTGTGATAGCTTGTCACGAAAACGTGGAATATCGTTACAGCTAACATATAATTCGGTGATATGCTTTCGTGAAAGCGTGTAATTCCGTTATGAGCTATCGTGGAAACATGGACTTTTTTGATAGGCTAAGGATATCATGGCATTTTGCTTTGCCCCGATAAAACATCACGGAATTCCATGCTGAGATACCATATCGTTTTCGTGATAGGATATCATAGTATTCCGCGTTTCCACGATAGCATATCACGCAATTCCACTTATTCATGATAGCCTATCACGGAATGCCACGTTTCCACGATAACCTACCACGGATTTCCACGTTTCCATGATAGGCTTTCATGGAATTCAGCGTTTTCATGATGGGCTATCGCTGCATGCCGAGTTGTACAGATATTTTATGATGAAACTCTATGTTAGGCCAAAAAAATATTCGATCTGTGGTCAGACCAAAGTTCCGGAATTGACGCGGCGACGCGTTTTTTTTTTGGGTTTTTTTTTTTGCTTTTTTTCTTTTTCTTCAAGCTTGCATTGTACAGACAAGGTGGGGTACTATTTTGCTTTTTTGGTGTCCTCATGTACATTGGTGTCCTCCATAATTTGCCTTGGTGCTCTCGATCATTTGCCTTGGTGCAATTTCCCATTCCTTGGTGCTCTTTGGTAAAAAAAAAATTGAGAAGGTGTGGCAATAGAGGGCGCTGTTGGAGCTACCGCTGAACATTTTGGGAAAAAAAAGATTAACGCGCATGATTAAAATCGACGCGCGCGCTGACCAGAGACCGACTTATTTTTTTTGGCCTTACCAAGATATTTTATCTCAGTAACGCAGTAACTCGGATGGTGTATACGCTCAGTTCCGTACCATTATTACACCCAAAAAATGCGCGCATTTCTCTCCAGATATCTTCAAGTAGTCTTGCCAAACCTCAGTATTGATGAGCTTACTGGCACCTCGTGCTTCCCCACACACACACTGTTGTTACGCAACGTTATGTAGATCCCGCTGATCAGGCAGTGTAATTTTTATTCCTAGGAGGGTTAGGGGCAATGTCATGAATAATTCAGTAGTTTCGATGGGAAAATTATGTTTATCCATGAGAACGGACAATGACATCAACAGCATTGTTGTTAGTTACTCAACTAGTTACAAACATTAAAGCATTTTAAAGAACGGTTGTCGTGGAGCTACCACACAGTAGCCTAGTGGATAGCGAGATGAGCTTATGGATACAAAGATCCCTGGTTCGAATCCACGTCATCGCTGCTCATTTTCATCAGCTATTTCTCTTCTCCAAATTTATCACTGAGATAATTTTAAATAAAGGGGAAAATAGAACGAGAACCTAAGTCTTGCAATGATTCAAAGGAAAAACTGAATTATTCATGACATTGCCCCTAACCCTCCTATATAGGGGAAAAAACGCGATCAGGCAAGGCCACTGGACCGACGGCCGCCGGTGATTGTGTATGCTCTTTTCTTGGCTTTATCTGTCAGTGCACAAACCAACGGCGTTGTTTCCTTATTGGCTCATTCTGGTTTGTACAAGTACACGAACCATCGGTACCGATGGTTCGTGTACATTCAATTAAATGTCACTTCGAGAGTGTCCGAGTAAGTGAGTTTGACAAAATCATTTATACTCGGGGAGACACAGCTAGGCTTATGCAATGAAGTGAGCTTGTACACTAGCAAATACATAGGTTGCTTGTTTGATTTATTGAGTGCCAATTTAAACTAGGTTATTCCTTATATATCTAAGATTACTGTTCTACATTGTAAGTGTATGATCTGTCCTTGGGTTGGAACTTAACCCATCATTCATTTTGTTTGCCCATGCTTAGAATGTGGATAAAGTATTGTCTGGTTTTACAGCCATCGTGTAAGCCTATTAGAGTATACTTCTGTGGGCATTTTATTCTTTCAGACAGCTTCATATTTTGATGTGTGAGTTACGTTTTCAGTTAAAACACTAAAAGTGTTCCCATTTGCAATTGCAATTGAAAGAAATGCAAACCTGAGTTTACTGCATATGTGGATTCTAGCTAGTATAGGTTTTCCCGGTTATTTTGACACTTGTATTACACAAATTCACTATATCGATACTTTAATTTCGTCCCCGAACATCGCCAAGCTCAATCCTCAATTTGAACTTCAAAAAGCCACCACTAGATTTCATTTAAGGTTCAGTATAATTCAAACTGTTAGCATTCCGATTCGTCCAAAATCTTTGAAATTCGTCTTGTGCAGCAATCGGTGTTGAATTGAAAAAGCAATTGTTTTTTTTGTCATTCGTTTTAATGTTCTTGTCGTTACATTTCGTCTCTGGTGACTTACAACGTTACGATTAAAAATGTGCCCAATCTTTGGACGTGTTTACACATTAATTAAATTTTAATTTTTTAACAAATATTTCCTTATAAATGAAAGTATAGCTGTAAGTTTTGAGTTTTCTTTGACAATTAACATTAAACTCGGAAATTGAACTTTCACAATATGCTCTTTGCTTAGCATATGGAATTAATTAAGCATTAAGATCAAACGCCTTCGTAATCTTGCTCTTTGATAAATGTATATTAATAAAACAACATAAATAAGGTATGTCTATCAAAGAACAACATTGAAGAGGTCTGTGAACTTAATGCTTAGTGTCCATGTCATAAGTGCATATTGTGAAATGTCAATTCCTGACTCTAATGTTAATTGTGAAACACAGATATAAAAAAATCATACCTTACAGCTAACTTCTTTTATTTAAACATATAAGGAAATACATGTTGAATTATCATTGTTTTAATACGCATAATTCTTCATGGCTGTCCCAAAACAGACGTTGACCATATAATTTGGTTCTGGCGAAAGAAATTGAGTAGTCGCATGAAGACTACTATGATGCGGTAAAACGCAGACTTGCCACAAATCTGATCACCACAAATTAATTCTAAAAGCAATCCGTGATTGGCTGAAAAGCTGCATATTATTGACGCTATTTAGGCTAGAATTTTTTTCGTTTTATTTTTGAATTGAATGATACCATTCTCTCTTTAATGAATACGACTTTCTTTCTTAGTGCAGTTCCTATTCAACCCTATAGCCTGGTTGCCAAAAGTGTGCCGACCATTCTCACACGCCATGTGACCAAACAGGTGAGGTTCCATCACCTGGTAAATTTTCGGAGTTTTCCGAACTGTTTTGGTTGACATTATCGTTAATTCTCTCGAAATTCTGGTATATAACGACGACCTAGTAACAGGTCTCGTTATTAGACAAGACGTCACTTACCTGCGTTAACTGAATAACAAGCGATGGTTACCAAAAGAACACAAAGTAACACAGAGAAAAGTGGTTCCTATTTCCTGGCACTCAGATCCATGATTAATCGTCAAAAGGCACCAAAGTAGATTCCTTGATTCTGTATGATTACTAATTAATGTTTCTTTTTCTACTTCGTCGCCCGCTATTACGATCGCTATTTGGTGATTCGCGAAAGTGTCTGGTTAAAATTGCAACAGGAACATGTGGACTGAAGTGCATTGATGACAGCCTGAGCTAGTGTGAACGCGTCTGTGGTTGCGTTGCGTGCTATTGTTATACCGAAACTTAAATAACGGATTTGTATGAGATCACTTATCCTTGTGGACTATAGGTACCTTCATGGGAAAACCCCCTGAAAGGTAAAGCCATACAGAAAACCCAGCGATACGTGTCGCTGGTAAATGCAGCAACTTGTTACAGAAAGGAACACGAAAACAGGCAAATTGCTCCGACAGAAACAAGGATTATTTCTTGGGATGCCCAAATAATGTTATTTTTGTGAGTGTTAGGCGCTTGAACACCATTTATTATTCTCTGTCGCCTCAGATATGATTCCTTGGAGGAACATATGGCGACAGTGAGATAAAATTCATGCACTTGTTCGTGACGTGATGGCCATGTTTTGAATAGGCCTACGTGGCGCGCGGCACGGGAACAAATTAAAAGAGTGCCTACATTACATTACACCAAAGTGGCATATTGATGATGTCATGGAATATATAATGATGAATTGTTTGACCTTTGTCAAAGTTAATGCCGAAATCCGTCCCCTCCCCCTTATTTTCATGTAACTCCTTTTCTTACTTTTACTTTCCTTTCCTTTTCTGTCGCAGATCGAGGGTCAAGTAGGTATATTTTTTCTTGTCTTTTCACTTTCAGTTTGTGCGTATATTGACGTGTACACGTATATAAGCGAATAATAATAATATGTGCGCGCACAACCGTCCATAGCTTGTACGCTAAAAGGTTATGTCAGCGAACCATCTATGAATATTTATGAGTTAATTGAATAAAGCCATGGAAACTTTTGTGTGTTGTCTCATACACCGTACCCTCTGGAGACGTGTGTGAAATAGGGAACAAAAGAGTGTACGTCTCCACAGGGCCATTTCTCCATAGATGATTACGTCTCCACAAGGCTATCATGAAATTATGGATTGTACAAAGACACGACCCGATAATTCTTTGCCCTTGCCTCCAGGCTCTTTATTTCTCCCAGTCGGACGCCTTAATTGTACATCCAATCACTTTGCACATATAATCATTAGCAATTTTAAATCCTGATCAATAGTATATATCAATCATTTATCATTCTTGTTAAGCAAGTACCTTGGTCTACATAGTATAACTGGTCTCGAACTCCTTAAAGGAGTAAACTTCAAACTTGCAAACTTAAAACAATAGATAGGCAATAAACAGGTCTTTTCCCTTAAGATGAACAAATGCAAACAACAGATCCCCGAGTATTACAGAGTATTCCCGGGAGTGAGAGAGGTTGGGTCAGCCGCCCCATTCGGCGGATGGTTACTCCGCCGAGTGCCCCGTGGCCCCCCGGGGTCTCGCGGGGTCTCGCGGCCTCCCCCGTCCCGGGGCACCCTGTGACAAGGCCTGGCCACGGTAACTGGTCAAGGCTTTCGTGACCACCGGGCCAAGCCCTGGCACAGAGGAAAAACAACCCCAGTGTAGACAACGCCAGAGTTTACTTAACATAATGGCCATAAGCGCATCTTACTAAACTTAAATCATCTGGATTGTTATAGAAACAAAAGTACGTGTCTACGCCACCATTACTCGTCCTTCCGGGGTAGCCAGGCACACAGAGCAACACGCCCATGTCAGCCAACAGTTGTCGTGTCCAAACCTAACCCATATTCTCCCCTTATCAAGCCCAAACCAACCAACCGTTATATTCTAAATATCTAAGACCCATTGGGGAAATTATGTGTCAAGCCCAAACCAACCAACCAATATTCTTCCCGATCGGTCCTAGTATGGAAATGTATTGACGTATCAAGCCCAAACCAACCAACCATATTGCCATAGTGGGACCTCTTTGGGGAAAGTATGTCAAGCCCAAACCAGCCAACCAGTATTCAACTAACCAGGACCCATTCGGGTATATAATGTGTCAAGCCCAAACCAACCAACCCATATCCTGAAAGCCCTCTGGGTCATAGTAAGGAGAATGTATCAAGCCCAAACCAACCAACCAATTTTCTTCTCTCTTTGGTCCTAGTAGGGAAATGTATTGACGTATCAAGCCCAAACCAACCAACCATATTGCCATATAGGACCTCTTTGGGGAAATTATGTGTCAAGCCCAAACAAGCCAACCAATTTTCTTCCCTCTTTGGTCCTAACTTGGAAATGTATTTATTTATCAAGCCCAAACCAACCCACCAATATCCCCCCCCCCCCCTCTTTGTCCTAGGACAGAAATGTATTTATGTATCAAGCCTAAACCAACCAACCAAAATTCAACTAACAAGGACCTATTCGGGTAAATAATGTGTCAAGCCCAAACCAACCAACCAATATTCTTCCTTCTGGGTTCTGGTATGGAAGATGGATTTATGTTTCAAGCCCAAACCAACAAACCAATATTCCTGGAAGTATGAACAAGTGCATAAGTTATGTATCAAGCCACATACCAACCAACGAATATTCATACAAGGTAAAATTAAATATGTCAAGCCCAACCACCCAATATTCAATAACTTTAACGGGTGGTTGGTTATTGTGATGTAAACCTCCAAAATTGGGGAGGGCGGGTCGGGAGAGCGTCCGAAAGGGAAAAAGCAAGTGGCCGATTGTATACTAGCGGTTGTTCAACCGCTTGTCACGTGACAATTGTGGGCTAGCCAGCACACGTTCCCACGCTGAGCGCTGGAGATCGCAAAGAGAGCGCATTCCTAAATTAATACATTTCTAGACAGGCGCACATACCGCGCCTTCCCCATTGTATCCATTTCCAGACGGACTCACATTGATACAATTTTGGTTCGGTTGTTTCACTTTTATCGTGGCTTTACTTGTACAAATAGGTTAGTGCCTTTACTCGCACAAACATCTTTTACTCAACTTATATACTTAAGAAAATATTGTTGAAATAATGATGTATCAGAAGAATCACGAAAATAAAATTTTCAAAAAATTAAAAAATATACTAAATATGGGAAAAATATATTAGGCTACACGGCATGAACTAACAATTAAATGCAAATTAGGTATATTTAGGGTCAAATTTAACTATGGCATCCACCCATATCTTTTGATAGGTTATTGTGAAACTTGGAATACTGTGATAGCTTGTCACGAAAACGTGGAATATCGTTACAGCTAACATATAATTCGGTGATATGCTTTCGTGGAAGCGTGTAATTCCGTGATGAGCTATCGTGGAAACATGGACTTTTTTGACAGGCTATTAAAGGATATCATGGCATTTCGCTTTGCCCCGATAAAACATCACGGAATTCCATGTTGCTGTGATACCCTATCGTTTTCGTGATAGGCTGTCATAGTATTCCGCGTTTCCACGATAGCATTTCACGCAATTCCACTTATTCATGATAGCCTATCACGGAATGACACGTTTCCACGATAACCTACCACGGATTTCCACGTTTCCATGATAAGCTTTCATGGAATTCAGCTTTTTCATGATGGGCTATCACTGCATTCCAAGTTGTAAAGATATTTTATAATGGAACTCTATATGTTTCCAAGATTATCTAAGTAACGCAGTAACTCGGATAGTCATACGCTTCCGTACCATTGTTATACCCCAAAAAATGCGCGCATTTCTCTCCAGATATCTTCAAGTAGTCTAAACCTCAGTACTGATGAGCTTCAAATTCACCAAGTTGCCTACTGGCACAATAACTCTTTAAAACCTTATGAAATTCACGTGAACAATGGGTGTGATATTTAGCCCAGCAAACAAAAACGGGGAAAACGAGGTGTATGTTAATTTGCCTAAATTAGTGAAGGGTTGCCAATAAACGTGGGAGACTTGAACAAGTTCAAAGAAATTCCCAAAATTATTGGAACAAAAATTAATGGAAAGAAAACATTTTGTCAATGATATAATTATTGCAAGCCTTTTTGGGGGGGGGGGTTGAACGTATTCAAATCTCCTTAGGCGACCCTTCGCTAAATTTAAGCCCAGCTCATTTCCCCCCGTTTTTGTTAGCTGAGTTAAATATTACAATGTTATCATTGTTCACATTGTTAATTTTCGATCAGGTTTTAATAGGGTAAATGTCCCGGTAAGCAAATTGTTGAATTCGACGCACATCAGTACTAAGGTTTGGCAAGACTACTTGGCATTGGGAGTCAGGTTGGCGTAGCGGTACTTTACTCGCCTTCCACCGCTGTGACCCGGGTTCGAATCCAGCCTGGGCCAATATGTGGATTGGGTTTTCAGTCCCTACCTGATTCCGTGGGTTTTCTCTAAAATATTCTTCTGGGCTTTTTCTCACACCTCTAAAACTGTAATTTCTTCTCATTGTCTCCTCTCTACAGGCTTCGTCAGGCTTTCGGGCTACAGTGCCTAGGGCACTTTTGAGGAATCCCTGGTTTCATTACCAGAAAGAAATAAAATAAATAACAATCAATAAATAAAATGATATCAGGACAAGGCAAATGCTAGCAATTTTGGGTTATACTAGTAGCCACATTGGGTCGTTACTATGTCCTCATAATTATTCAGTCGCATATAATGCTTAAGAAAATGTTATTTAAGTTAGGGTGTGTAGGCCTAAGTAGAATCACCAAAACCACTTTTTCCAAAAATAGAAATAATAAATAATATACCTTAAATGGGAACAAATATGTTACACGGCAGGGATTAACAATTTATGCAAATCAGGTACATTGGGTCACAATTTAGGGTGGCATCCGACACCTATATTTTCTTCTCCATCCTATGACTGATTGATCTGACATGGTTGCCTGCTATTACCAGAAAATGCAGTCCAAACTGTAATATTCCACTTTGGCTGGTGTACTATCATGCGTGGTGTCGAGTTATGTCGCATTAAAGGTGCACTTTTTCTCTCTCAATGTGACGTCACCAGGCGTCGAGTAACATCACATTATATGGTGCATTTTTCGAAGCGCTATATCCGATTGCAAGTCCGATTGGGTTGGATCTTCGTTGGTACATAATAATAATAGTAATAGTGGATATTTATAAAGCGCACGTATCCACCAGGACTGGTGCTCAAGGCGCTACTTCATTATTACCCCTGCTCATTGGGCCCATGAAACATTCTAAATACCATCTCAGCTCCCTGGGGAGTATACAGCTCGATGCAGCCTGTTAGGCGCAAGGAAGCTAATTCGATCACAATAACCATCTCTGCCCTCACAGGTACCCATTTACTCCTGGGTGGAAAGAAAGCAATGAGTGACAAAGTGCCTTGCCCAAGGGCACACGCACCATGACCCCGCCAGGACTCGAACCCACAACCTGCAGCTTTACCCACCGACCACGAATCAGTGCCCTTAACTACGAGGCCACAGTACTCCATCGACAGGGACGTTTTATAGTTAAACAGACGAGGTGTCAAGTTAGTCACATTAAAGGTGTATTCTCTCCATAGGATTTGCACGTTTTCCTTCCACGAGCAATACTGTAAATCCCATCGACTTCAGACTTAGTACACACATATACCAACAACAAAGGATGGTCGGCAAAGATTGTTGTCACGATGGCGTCTTCAGGTGTCAAGTTTCATGAAATTAAATATGCACAAATTGTCAAAGCCCTACATTTTCTGAAGTCCAAGTCCGATTTGGTTGAATTAGTTGGTATAGACAAGAACGTGTATGTAAATCTAAGTGACGTCATGATGACGTCATCACGGGTCATGATGACGTCATCATGGGTCATGATGACGTCATCACGGGTCATGTGACCTCACCTTAAAGGGGCATGTTGCTGAGGCCTAAATCTAGAGAACTAAATATTCAATTGTAATTGGTGTTATAGTGTAGTATTATACATGATATTTAGTGACATCATCAATTCATGATGACACATTTTGTCATCAATTCACAAAGCCATTCCAAGAACATACGAAACAGCCTGTGTTCATGCACGAACACACTTCTAGTTTTCACTTTTTTCAACATGGTGCTATTGATGACTCGCTAGAATTGGGATTAAATTTGAATTTCTTTTATTGAATGTCGTTGAATTATGGAATTATTTGTTGGTGCCGTTATTTTAATTTTGTAACAAAAGTGAAAGGTTCATTCATGAACATCCCTACAAAAAATAGGCATTATACCCTCCAAGATGGCTGCTACACATGAGGTATATGACCTCGGAGACTATACTACTCGAAACAGTCTATATTTTAAATCTGGCTATAATAATAAAGTTGAATCAAATTTAATGCACTACTTGTTCATATCTCGATAAACACACAACTTCAAACTCTCCGGTCATGTTAAAACGTGGTCCCAATTTCATAGCACTGCTTATGGGTTAGCAGAAAAGTTGTGTTACGCAACTAATTTAAGTAACTTTTTTTCCTCTGTGGTTAAGCATGCTTTTGCTGTGCTTACTGCTTACGGTCTCCTTAAAATAAACAAAGGCTCTGTGAGCACCAAATCGCCAGCGCTATTAAATTGGGCCCAGTTTTCAGCTTGCTACAGGTATATTTTAACATTTATGTTCTGTTATTGTTTTTCCTAACAATAGTTACAGCAAAAAAACATGACAATGAATAGCCGGAGTTACCTCAGCCTTACATTTTATCATTGGGTTGTCATATGGTGACTCCAGCTAGACGATGAACATTAAACCTCCGGGAAAACTAGACTTCCATTTAGCATTATATCTTGCTTGGGGTACATGCTTACATTAGTAAAGTTAGTAAAGTGGTAAATAAATAATCATTACAAATACAATATGCCGTAAACTTTTATTGAGATACTTCCCCTTACCCTCCCCTTAAGATGTTTACATTGAGATATGAAATACATTTTAAAAATCATGTACTACAAATATATACAATACCTCACAGCAATTAAGGATTTCGCTGACTGAAAGTCACCTGCATTTGAGGATATGGCACCATAATTTATATGATTTAAAATTAGAAAAAAATATAATAAGCGAGTCTCAAAAACTTATAGCTTGCTGCTCCACCGGTGTTCACCATTACTGCCTTGTCTCCCTGTGGAATCCAAAAAGACAAATAAAGATTTGAATAAATGCCATTTCAATGAGGAAAGCTATTGAAAGATAAGCTTCCCTGAGCTCGGCACTTATATGCAGTTAATGGCAGTCATGTTCACTGGGGGTAGAGATAGGGGGTGGGGTGGTGTAGGAAAATTGGGGGGGGGGGGGTTCCCCCAAGCAGTCACGTACACTGGGGGAAAGGATGGGGTGGGGTAGGAGGATTGGGGGGGGGGGGGTGTGTTTCCAAGCAGTCATGTACACCGGGAGGTAGGGCTAGAGGTAGGGCTGGGGAAGGATATTTTATTTTATTTTATTTTATTTTCATTATTATTTTTTTTGGGGGGGGGGGGTGGTGTTTTTTTCCCAAGCAGTCATGTACACTGGGGGAAGGGATAGGGGGTGAGGTAGGAGGATTGGGGGAGGGGGTGTTCCAAGCAGTCAGGTACACTGGGGGAAGGGATAGGGGGTGAGGTAGGAGGATTGGGGGAGGGGGTGTTCCAAGCAGTCAGGTAGACTGGGGGTGGGGATAGCGTAGGAGGATTTGGGGGGGGGGGGGTCCAAGCCATCATGCACACTGGGGGTATGGATAAGGGGGTAGGGTAGGGTGGGCTAGGAGGATTTGGGGGTATGTTCCAAGCAGTAGTGTACAATGGGGGTTGGGATAAGGTGAGGGTAGGAGGATTGGGGAGGGGGGGGGGGGTTCCCAGCCGTCGTGTACACTGGGGGTATGGATAAGGGGGTAGAGTAGGGTGGGCTAGGAGGATTGGGGGGGGGGGACGTTCCAAGCAGTAGTGTACAATAGGGGTAGGAGGATTGGGCGGGGGGTTCCATGAAACATCCCAACTCTCTCCCCTGTTAACTGATAGTACAGGTATTCACTTTTTACTTGCTGTGCCCGATGATAAAGCCAGTACAATACATGAAGTGCACATAGGATAAGCAATCAATTAGCAGCTCAGGTAGTCAACATTGAACATGTTGAAAGCACCTGTAGCCTCTTTGATACAAAATATTTGGTTCCACGCTACAAGCATACTTGGAATCCATTCTCTGAATTCAGGTGACAATTCCCCCCCCCACCCCTCGAAGCAGTCTACATCACAGGTGACAGTTAGTGAGATACATATACAGTGTACAGAAAACACATAGGTTGTGTAGAGTACATACAATTGTATTCAATTGATTCAGAATAGCTATTCACTGGATATTTCTTCATACATCAGGTGTAATAGTGCCCCAGGTTAATAACCCTTTAATAGATGTTATTGGGTTCTCCTATAAAATAGCACTGCCCAGCTCTCTACAACAATTTACGGCAAGTGTAAGGTACAAGTAACATTCAGTCAGTGAGACAGGTTAAGGAGAATACACGAGAAAGTGTGGATTCGTAAATTAAGAATCCACACTTGCGAGTGTATTCTTCGACTTAAACCATTGCATCAACAGAAGTATTGGAAAGAATGCTGCAACCTGACGCACTTTTTTCTTCATATATCATCCCATTCATCTCAATGAAGGCCATTTGTTGCAAAAATAATGATAAGACATGAATCTGGGACTGATAAATGTTTCCAAATTTGTTAAGAAATACTTGAAATGACTCTCCATAGACATTGTACACAAGCGCGGAAGTGGCGTCAGGTTGCAACATTGTTTCCTGACGTGTTTAGCATGTGTATCGACACACAGGCTCCTTACGTCAAAATGGATAGTTCAGAGGACGATTTCTTTCTGACTAAAAGTAGATTTTGCAGTGACGGCGAAAAATCTGACAGTGAAGATGCACTGGTAATTTTCGGAAAACAAATTTTCACGCAGACGGTCCTTTTCTTGCTCATTATGGAGAACAATTGTCCGACATGTTCAGTGGATGAAGTGTGGATTCGTAATTCCGAATCCACGTAATTCTGAATCCACACTTTACTAAAGATTCGTCGCTCCGAATCCACACTTTGTGACCAGTGTAAGAGATTCATAGATCCGAATCCACACTTTTAACAATAGTGTGACGTCACAGCAATGGTTTAAGTACAAAGAGGACACTAGGCTGGCCCTCTGGGACCAGCAGAAATTGAGCGGGCTTACATTCAAATCTGAACAAAATGAGGTCTGTGAGTTGCTGTTGTATCCCAGTGCACCCATTAATTAACCCTCCTATGGTAACATGCATTGTCAGCCTGCTTATTACTTGGGTCAATATTGGTCAAGACCCCTATTGGTTTGTACACAGTAGGCCAGGAGATGAGAAAGAAAATTTTGACCATAGGTGACCTCTCAAGCAAAGGGAGTGTGTTGAAAGTCTTGACTTGTGTTGCGGGAAGAGTTTATTAGGAATCAAATGGAAGCTAGAACACATCCAGTTGGCACCCTCCTGAAATTAAAAAAAAAACCACCTACCAACTTTGCCTTCCTTTTCCAATTTGGTTAGATGGTGGTCCACATTTGAGGCTGCAGCCATGTGTAAAATCTCGGGAGTCTCCTACGAGTGAAGCAATATTAAGCTTTATTAGAAGAAAAAGAACCATTTTCTGTGCTTAAAAATTACTGCACTAGGTACATGTAGCTGCATGAAAGGTAGTCTGAGCATCACCCGTTATCCACGGAGCCATCTCCTGTCTAACGTCTGGTATGTCAAAGCATGCAGATTCATGCAAGCCGCGCGCCAGCCAGTCGGAGTCGACTTTACTAAATCGTGACGTCATGTCATCCCAAAATCAGGACTAACGCTGTGATTGGTCAATTCGAATGCAGCGTTTTGTAATACAACAACAGCCGGGAGCGCATTCGCGTAACATGATACCGAGCGCCGCGCGCCGTGATTGGTCAATTCGAATGCAGCATTTTGTAATACAACAACAGCCAGGAGCGCATTCGCGTAACATAATACCGAGCGCCGCGCGGTGACATTTTTTTTTAAATCCATGTCTATGACGCTTAACGGGTGAATGACCGAAGACCCGATAGACCTATAGAAAGCGCCTGCTGATTGGTCAAAATCTAGGAAGTCAAGAGGCGGGGTCTTGCCTAATTAATCAGCAAATCTGTCCGCGCATAATAGATTCGCTGTGGTCTATTACATAGACTTCATGAAAGGAGGTCTCAGAAATTATATTTTGCTCAGTGACTTTGTCATAATAATAATTATAAAATAAGTTCAGCTAGTGCCAAATCCATTTAAATAAAATGCTCCCAGGCACTGAGAGCATTTAATGGGCGCGTCTTGGTCATATTACCTCCTACATTTTTGGCCTTAGCCCCTCCCCTCCACCGGTTCAATTCTCACCGTGTAGATGATTTTCACCATATCCATGCAAGTCAAGGCCTTCTTTCCTTTGTTAGCCTCCAACACCTCCAGTATTTGTTTCTCCCTCAAGTTGCGGTGATCGATGTACGCCTGCACTTTCTCAACAGCGCTGGTGACGACTGGCCCATGGCCGGGATAAAGAACGTCTGGTTTCAAGGCCACTATGAGCTCCAGTGACTTCATGTAGGTGAACAGGTCTTCAAACACCTTGCAACAAAAATCAAAGCTCACAACTCACTGACTTGCAGTTACTCAGTTGTATATTAGACGAGATAGACTTTCAAAAGTCTTTGCTTAGATCAAATATTTGGTGATCCAAATATTTGACTCAGAGGACTACCTAGAACAGGCTTTCAAGTAGACCAAGGTGAAAAAAGTGGGAGACAAACATGCATGTACAAGTAAGAATTTCAAGAAAAAAGTAGGAGCAAGGTAAAAAAAGACCAGGAAAAGTAGGAATACTTAGAAGCCTGCGAGAACTTTTACCAAATTGATGATGGACCTAGTTCACTATGCTTACCCCGCCGCCGCTGGACCAAGCCCAGTCTAATGTGGCTTTCTTAGATGTAGGTAGATTTGCAGCGCTTAACTGGATTGTCACTCGTCACTCAAATTCTGATGGGAGGCAGGCCGGCTCTGGACAACAGATGCCCATACATTGGGGATAGCCTGACTGTTTATCAAGGACAAACCACTGCACTCCCACCCATATTATTAGTATGTGCGAACATATTTAATGTCGTTAACTTATTAAAGAGCCATTATCTCAGTAGGGTGCTCATGAATACGAACCCGGGAATCCCGGGTTCGCGAAAGCCACATTAGACTGGGCTTGGTCCAGTAACGGCCTGGTATTGTTTTTGTGCAAGAGGTTTCTGAATGTTTGTGTTGTACACTGCATGCTAATAGCTATGAATTACAGAGAAATTGCATTGCACATGCCTTTAGGAAAGTAGAGAGACTGCACCTTAAAGGGAAAATACAACATTTGCAAACATCAAAAAATAAAACTACCAAATCATTTTGAAATACCTTGCTGGACTGTTAGTGAATGACAGTGTAAAGCATCCTGTAAAATCATGGCACCTGGTAAACTGTCATTTTCAAGAAAAGTGGTATTTTTGTATCAATTTCCAACGCTGATTGGCCGATCAGCGTTGGAAAAAACGGCTTTTTTTCAAATACTGGCCCCAGTTGACCATCGCACTTGTTTGCAGTCGATTACACACCTATGAACGGGTACAAGCCAGCTAGACTGGTTCCCTGACCTTACAATTCCCCAATGTATGTAAACTGCTCTGTTTCTTCTTAAATGGAGTCAGGGAACCAGACTACAGGAAAATGATTGTTTTTCTTGGTTTTTATAGCATTTTTGAACCCAAAACCTCAAAAAGTCAGTGTAACTATATGTGCTATTATATTTCCAACCCCCCAATTCCATCCATTTCTGAAAATTACAGCAAAAGCAAATGATGTATATTCCCTTTAGGTGTTATTGCCAAAGGAAGTGAATAAAGTAGGAAACTACGATGTGAACAGTACATTGGGCTGTTGAGATTACACACTGTGTAAATGTAATGTTCTTTTTTTTTTACAAGCACTTTACAATTTTTTTTGCCAAAAGTGGGCAAGAAAAGAAATGGGGATGGGTCAGGACACTCCTTGTCCCTCAGCTTGGATTTACCCTTGTGTGGAAAGTTGATCATTAGGTTGAAAACTAGCCATTCTGCAACATAGTGGTGCTCGGCAAAGTGAATCCCTTGTTTGAACATTTGTAATAACTTGTTTTTACTTACGGCTGTTCCTTCTCCCAAAATGCAATCTCCCGTAAAGACAGCATTTTCTTCCTCAAGATACAGCACCATGTGGTCATCAGTGTGGCCTGGTGTGTAGATTACCCTGGAAAATCAACAGCCGACAAATGCATACAATGAGCCATTTGCATGAGTGACCTATGACATTTGTGCATCTCATTGAATATCTTGTGCACTGAGAAGAAAATCTGACTATAAAAGATCCTGTTGTCATGAGCAACAGGCTGGGACAGTCTCAGCTTAAGTTGGTCTAGTTTAGGAGTGGCATTCTTACTTAAAGGGAATATACATCATTTGCTTTTGCTGTAATTTTCAGAAATGGGTGGAATTGGGGGGTTGGAAATATATAGCAAACATAGTTACACTGACTTTTTTGAGGTTTTGGGTTCGAAAATGCTATAAAATAAACCACGAAAAACAATCATTTCCGTGTAGTCTGGTTCCCTGACTCCATATAAGAAGAAACAGAGCAGTTTACATACATTGGGGAATTGTAAGGTCAGGGAACCAGTCTAGCTGGCTTGTACCCGTTCATAGGTGTGTAATCGATTGCAAACTAGTGCGATGGTCAATTGGGGCCAGTATTTGAAAAAAAGCCAGTTTTTTTCCAATGCTGGTTGGCCTACCAGCGTTGGAAATTCATACAAAAATACCACTTTTCTTGAAAATGACAGTATACCAGGTGCAATGATTTAACAGGATGCTTTACACTGTCATTCACTAACAGTCCAGCAAGGTATTTCAAAATGATTTGGTAGTTTTATTTTTTGATGTTTGCAAATGTTGTATTTTCCCTTATTCACTTGATTTAAAAGCTAAACGTGGGCCGATTATTTTGGACAGTGTCTCAATCAAAAGTGAATGAGGGACAGTGTTTCATTAAAAAGTAACTTTTTTGTATTGCTTGCCAAATTCAGACACTCGATAACTGCAAAATAGAGCGCTTTAAGGGCCCCAATTTCATCCTAATTGAACGGAACTACAAGCTCACAGTCCAGTGCACGGCTTCCACCCATATTTTTTACAAACCCTCAAGTTCATGGCCCACAGCATGCTCAAATACTGAAGATTTTGAGGGCATGCAAATCGTGATTTGGCCGGCATAGGCAATTTCGGACCGATTTACTGGCCTGCAACCCTAAAGAGTTGAGATGGCCTGATATTGTTTGGCATGATATTTTGGTGCCACCACATTCACAACATGCAAACAACAAGGGAGTCTGGCTGCCAGACCAAAAACCATCCTGCACTTACATTGTACGTGTAGTGGTGATCCAGTGTTTTTTAAACCACGACTTATCTCAAGCTTCGGCTTCATAATCTAAAGTCCAAACCAAATTGACTAGCAAGATATTTCTGAAGCAAATCATGGACCTGTAGACAATGCATAGTGTGCCAAAGTCTGTTAACTCTCCTAAAGCCTCAGCTGGCAACAGAGCCAAGCTTTTGAAAACACCAACACAAACCTTAATGTGGCACCGTCAGTCCGTAGAACCTGTCCATCTTCCAAGTATTTGTACTCCTGATCTACCCCCTCGATGGGCTCATCTTGATGCGGGCTGCGAGGCAACTTGGACACATCAATGGAGGACGCTAAAATAAAAGCGGGATATGAAATTGTACTTTATCAACACTGTGAGGCAAATTACTGTGAGGCAAGGAAAGCAGAGTTGATATTGAGTTAATCACATGTCAATCACAACTTCACTCACAATTAGCGAATACGTGTAAGGCTTAAAATTGAAACAGAATACCTTGTCACAGTTCATTTCAATCACTGGTCAATGGACATGGACTTGTTATTGACTTGATACAGCCCCCTCTAGGGCCAAGCGGTCACTGAACTTCTTCTGTTTCCTTAGCCTTTCGCCTTTAAATTGTTAAAGTTGTAAAAAATCTACAATATTGATAGGCACACCATTATGAACATCTTCATCTCTTAAAAATTCGTTAAAGAGCCATTTTCCCTTGAAATTATAGTTAACTAAATTTTCAAGGATTTTTCAACATATAAAGACAGATAAGGAGTCCGTGGAAACACACTTAAGAAAGTCTTTTGTTTACCCATGGAGATAGACCCAGTGTACCGCTATGTATAACCAATGATAATCCTCAGTGACCAGGGTCAATAACAAAATGTGAAAATACTTAACCCTTACAGGATTAGTCTAGTATAAGCCCCACGTAAATATCTGTGAAACATAGATCTCTTAAAGATTCTTTTCAAGGAGAAGCAGACTTTTAATGAAAATTTAAGGGATCAGATGTTCATGTTGTAGTCCGAAAATTTGGGACTCTCAATACCGCGAGTCCCAAATCTTAAGGTATTGAAAACATGCAATACAACAAAATAGACTGGCACCTGAAACAACCAGTTCCACGCCGCTTCAGTACTGCATCAATCAACTGTGCCAAAAGAAACATATGGAATGCAATGGGAACTAGTCTCTATTTACTACACATTTCTCCATAGTCAGTCACCAGACTAATGACAATGAATGAAGAGGTCAGTCTTTTCAAACAGTTGGACCATGGTTGGACATGTACCAGTCTAGTCTTTAGCCTCATTTTGAAATCACTTGACTTCCCTCTCATGAGCAAAATATTGAAGAAATGTCTCCTCTAAAAATTGAATTGAGTCTTCAGACTTGGCTGGTGAAATACTGAGGACCTTTTCTTTGCCCAGTGGACATTTTTGGAGAAATGTGTGTTTAAAGAGTGAGTAAAGTTGGCCTGACTTAGTTTTGCACGTTTCAGAGCACTCCAGGTCCCAGTCTGACACCATATGTGCCCTACAGTTTTTTGCAAAACAATCTGAATATACTTACAGCATGTACAGTGAACACACTATCTGATGACTAATAATGGGCCCTAGTCTGTAGTCATATAAAATTGGAGTGATTTTTTGTAGGACAAAAAGATGGCTTTCAAACAAAATTTCAGAGGCAAAATGTGGGAGTCCAGATTCTGTGCACACATGGAATACTCAACTGTTATGTTGCATATTACATCAGGGCGCGTAGCGCTTAAAGATAATAATTTAAGTTTCTACAACTTTTTTGTATTCACAGTGTACATGGTGTAGGGCCGGTGACTGCATCTACATGTATGTTCCGACACCCCTATGTTCCGACAACCTAGATTGTGTTACTCCCGGTTAGGGTTAGGGTTAGGGTTAGGAATAGGAATATGTGCAGTCGGAACAAGGGGTGTCGGAACATAGAGGTGTAACCGTAGGGCCAATGATATTTGTAACCCTAGTTTTAAACTAAATTGGTTAAATTTTAGGAACTACATGTACATTGCAGCTTGCTTGTGTTATTGGTGGGCATAAATCAGTCAATCTGTGCAATTGGTCAATCGCGCTGCGTTATCGGTCGATCATGACGGATATATCCCTTTAAAAAATTATCCTCCAGAGCCAAGGTGTTCAACGGGTTGCAGCGTGATCAGCCGACAGTGTCATGATCGACCGACAGCTCAGCGCGAACAACCGATTGCACCCAGCATTAATTATCAAACTGTCCGGTTTAAAGCATCATTGCATGGATCTCATGAGAAGGCTGCAGAGCCCCCTCAAGAGTCCATAGTCTTACCAAGCTGAAGTTCCTTGCAGACCCCTGGAATACCCCCCACGTGGTCATGGTGCCAGTGAGTGACGAGAATCTCTTGAATGCTCGTCTTGTGATTGGACAGCGTGGTCTTCAGATTGCTCAGATATTCTGGTTTGTCTTCCTCGCCAGTATCAATCAAGAAACGTCTGTGTTGAAAATGTAAATCATGAATGAACAGTCCCATGGATACATGTTCATGTTTATTTTAGCTTCTTTTTTTTGTAACAGATATGGAAGCCGAGTGTATACATACAATGGTCTGTGTGCCTCTTCCACTCTTGAGAAAGGGGTGTGCAAATTTGTGAGAAACGATACATGTATTCCAGCGTATACTGTATCCCTCTTAAAGGGAAAATACAACATTTGCAAACATCAAAAAATAAAACTACCAAATCATTTTGAAATACCTTGCTGGACTGTTAGTGAATGACAGTGTAAAGCATCCTGTAAAATCATGGCACCTGGTATACTGTCATTTTCAAGAAAAGTGGTATTTTTGTATATATTTCCAACGCTGGTCGGCCGACCAGCGTTGGAAAAAAACTGGCTTTTTTTCAAATACTGGCCCCAATTGACCATCGCACTTGTTTGCAATCGATTATACACCTATGAACGGGTACAAGCCAGCTAGACCGGTTCCCTGACCTTACAATTCCCCAATGTATGTAAACTGCTCTGTTTCTTCTTACATGTATATGGAGTCAGGGAACCAGACTACAGGAAAATGATTGTTTTTCTTAGTTTTTATAGCATTTTCGAACCCAAAACCTCAAAAAAGTCAGTGTAACTATATTTGCTATATATTTCCAACCCCCCAATTCCATCCATTTCTGAAAATTACAGCAAAAGCAAATGATGTATATTCCCTTTACATATTAACATCTTAACACTTTCTTATTTCTACAAATGCTTTTTAAGCGTTTGTTCTCTCCAAAATGTGAACATCAGTTAAATATCAACGGACATTAGAATCTGTATTTGCTTTGTTTAACCATATCGTGAAATTGTCCTTCACGCAAACATCTGTGAGAATGCACTTTTCTAACAGGTCCTTTTTATTCCCTGCAAGTATCGTCAAAGGTCTCATCTTTATTTTGTAGTTGTTTAAAGGATACATGTATTTGTCATTATTTTTAACTTGACCATTCCCCCCCCCCCCAAATCAAAAGTTGCTGAGTCACGTTTTGAATTGCGCCCGAATGCAGTGTCCGGGACACGGTCTCATCCAGCCAATTGCAGCTACGTGATGTCCTGCACTGAAACGACGAACTACATGTATAGCAACCGCGTGCGTGTGTGCGTGTGCATCATGTCAATGCTTGCGCGCACTTCGCCAAATTAAAAATAAACTAATTAGGCATTTGAAGTAAAAAAAAAACATGTTTCTTGTCCCCACCCGCTTCCTTTTTGGAGGCCTCCTGGATTTTTTTATTATTTTTTATTTTTGAAAAATGCAGTAAAAAACACCGAAAAAGTCCACAAATTCATCGGAAAATAAATACTTGCGAAATATGTGACCAATACAACTCTAAATGACACTATGTTCAGTTTTCTTGTCCAACTTGGATTTCATTTTAAAAGTGTCTTTGAACAGTGGAAACACAAAGAGTTTGAAATGGCGACCATCTTGAAAAAAAAAAAAAAAGCCCCTCTTCCTCCTTTTTTTTCAAAAACCCGGACGAGAAACATGTTGTTTTCTTATTTGGCCTGACGGAAATTTCCAACAATGTGTCTTTAGACGTATCGTTGGAAAGGCCTTTTTACATTGTTTTCTTCAAAATGACAGCTTGCCAGAGAGAATAATTTCACAGGGAGTTTAGTCCCATTCTTTAAATACCAAGCATGCTTTTCAACAACAATTAGGCCTACATCAGTTAGGCCTAGTTACTTTTTGAACATGTTGAATACTGCAACTGATGGACTGTAGGTTGAAATTCATCATGTAAAATAAATCAACTTCCATGACATCTCACAATCACCCCCATTTTAACATGTACGATGCAAAGGAGCAACTATAGAATGCAGGGCCACGCCGAAGCAAGGTTTTTATTTTGCCTGGAGGCGTGGATGGAATAGGAGTAATAGATATGCAAACCTGCAAAAAAGTGCTAAGTACAGCGAAGGAATGCACTGCACTTGTCTTCTAAGCTTCTCATGAAGGATCGGAAGGGAGGACGTGCTTGTAAATGTGTTGGGGGCACTGTCTGGAGCGGCGGAGGCACGGAGTCTTGGAGTCGCAGAATCGCGGAGACGCGGGGCACTGGAGTGGCCGCAGTGGCGCGGAGTCGCGGAGTCGCAGAGACGCGCACCGATAGAGGGCGCAATTCTCGGCGGAATCTTTTTGAGAACGAAGCATCCATATCCATTTTAAATGGGCGGGCCAATTAGGAAGGGAGGAGGGCGACAGGGCACTGTCTGGAGTCGCGGAGGCGCGGAGTCGGGGAGTCGCAGAGTCACTTTAATTGGGCGGGCCAACTAGGAAGGGGGGGGGGGAGGGCGACGGGGCACTGTCTGGAGTCGCGGAGGCGCGGAGTCGGGGAGTCGCAGAGTCACTTTAATTGGGCGGGCCAATTAGGAAGGGGGGGGGGAGGGCGACGGGGCACTGTCTGGAGTCGCGGAGGCGCGGAGTCGGGGAGTCGCAGAGTCACTTTAATTGGGCGGGCCAATTAGGAAGGGGGGGGGAGGGCGACGGGGCACTGTCTGGAGTCGCGGAGGCGCGGAGTCGGGGAGTCGCAGAGTCACTTTAATTGGGCGGGCCAATTAGGAAGGGGGGGGGGAGGGTGACGGGGCACTGTCTGGAGTCGCGGAGGCGCGGAGTCGGGGAGTCGCAGAGTCACTTTAATTGGGCGGGCCAATTAGGAAGGGGGGGGGGAGGGCGACGGGGCACTGTCTGGAGTCGCGGAGGCGCGGAGTCGGGGAGTCGCAGAGTCACTTTAATTGGGCGGGCCAATTAGGAAGGGGGGGGAGGGCGACGGGGCACTGTCTGGAGTCGCGGAGGCGCGGAGTCGGGGAGTCGCAGAGTCACTTTAATTGGGCGGGCCAATTAGGAAGGGGGGGGGGGAGGGCGAAGGGGCACTGTCTGGAGTCGCGGAGGCGCGGAGTCGGGGAGTCGCAGAGTCACTTTAATTGGGCGGGCCAATTAGGAAGGGGGGGGGAGGGCGACGGGGCACTGTCTGGAGTCGCGGAGGCGCGGAGTCGGGGAGTCGCAGAGTCACTTTAATTGGGCGGGCCAATTAGGAAGGGGGGGAGGGCGACGGGGCACTGTCTGGAGTCGCGGAGGCGCGGAGTCGGGGAGTCGCAGAGTCACTTTAATTGGGCGGGCCAATTAGGAAGGGGGGGGGGGGAGGGCGACGGGGCACTGTCCGGAGTCGCGGAGGCGCGGAGTCGGGGAGTCGCAGAGTCACTTTAATTGGGCGGGCCAATTAGGAAGGGGGGGAGGGCGACGGGGCACTGTCTGGAGTCGCGGAGGCGCGGAGTCGCTTTAATTGGGCGGGCCAATTAGGAAGGGGGGGGGAGGGCGACGGGGCACTGTCTCTCAGTGGTGGAGGCGCGGAGTCGCGGAGTCGCAGAGACGCGCACCGATAGAGGGCGCAATTCTCTGCGGCTCCACGACTCCACGATCGATTTTCAGAGGTAGGTCGACTGCGGTTCCACGCCTCCACGCAGCCGTACGGAGGCGCGGATGTAGAGTAAAGTGGCCCTGCATTCTATAGTTGTACCGATGCAAATTTCGCTTGAGTAACTCCAGCTGACAAGTCAATGACATGCTCATATTCATTCACATACTGTACATAGCAATGAACATGTCCTGTCAGCTGGAGTTACTCAACTCAAGCTAATGCAAATTATACCTTTTCCCGGTTCCTACAATGTATGTATTCGTGCCTTGAAGTGTCATGGGCCCTGGGTTACAGCCCAACACCCGCACGATTCGGGAAGAAAGTTGCTCCACTTTTGGGATCACAGTAGCCATAATATTCATCATTCAACCTGATAATAATCAGGATTTTCTTACTTTCCAGTCCACACCGCCGACATCATACATGTCATACGGCATGTACGGCATGGCACGGCACGTGATATGTTACGAGCGCCACCAAGTGGTCAGAAAGTGTTCATTTAACAGAATAAGACGGATACCTTAAACATGATCTGTCTTTCTATTCCTATCCCACTAATGAATCAGGATACCATACTTAATTTATTGCATTGAAAATGATGGTAAAGTGCTGTGTAGGCGTTTCGTCGGAAGATATGAAGGTAATATTCTCCTGTGTCTGTTGATTAAAGTGCAAAATCAATTTTACGACTGATTCTTGACTTTATCATGACTTAATTTTCAGGGAATTGAATAAAATTATGCTATTTTTGACGGTGTAAACTGAGTGAGAAGACCTCGACATGGTGAGTGAGTGTGAGAAAACTTCAGTTTCAAAGAGGGCGCGCTTTCCGTGGCAGCATGGGGCAATTTCGCTTGTCCCGGATCCCCACGATCTCATATAATATCAGGGCGCTGGTGAAAAGTTTTCCATACTAGGCCACCACTTTTATCAATTAATTTTCGAGCGCCAAAAAGTTGCATCCTTATTCATCTGTGCATGTTATTAAATAATGGTTATTTCCTCCACTTTCATGACATTCCCTCCTCTACTCTCAGTCTCACCCTCTCCTTTCCCTTTCCTTTAAAGTTTAAAGTTTAAAGTTTGCTTCGTCCTTCGGATGGGACGCAAAGCTGTAGGTCCCGTGTGTTGTGTAATGCACGTTAAAGAACCCAGTAACACTTGTCGCTAAGAGAAGGGGTTCGCCTCGGTGTTTCTGGCAGTGGCCGCAGCACCTTGTAAACCCTGGTGCCACATAATGGGTCTCATATCTCTCATGTACTTCATTCATCTACATTGTAATTATAGACATAACTCCCAGTGCCTTGAGTACCTCAGTACTCCGTTGCGATAATGCCTGAATAGGTTTCTGCAACGTAGCCATACACTATACAGATCCAGATACAGATAATTATCACCACTGTTTTTAATAATTTATACTTATACTAATTCCATACTGGTCACCACTTTACCTGCCGCCAAACACATCAATTTTCACCTCACCTTGTGATTTCAAACAACTGAACAAGAGGGATCCAGGAAGCTCTGTTAATGCGAAAAAAAATTAGGCAAAGTTGAACTGAGTTGAACTGAGTTGAAGCAACCGGTCAAAACTGATTGAAGTGTCTGGAAGACAGTCATGACAGCGGTACATTATACGCATGACGTCGACAACCATGACAATGCATGAGCCGGCCAATGATAGTGCAATACGTCATTATGAATATTTATTTTTCATGAATATTTAGTTTATTTCAATGGATACTTCAAATACGTCCAAAGATTGATCATTGCAACAGCGATCGTGCGCGGCCTACCGGTTAGAAGTCTCGTGTTTTAAGCAAGAGTCCTAGGTTCGAATCTCACTGAAGTTGATTAATAAATAGGAATAAAGGAAAGGAGAGGTGTGGGTGAGAGTAGAGGAGGGAAAGTGGAGGGAATAACCTTAACCCTAACAACCCTGAGCCCATCAAGCTCCAACAGCGGGTTTTGCTTGATTTTGGCAGGGTTGGTACCGAACCAGCTGGCCAGTGCCAGCTGGTGTTGGACTTTGATTGACTGGGTACCCTGTTGAATTTTGTGAGGTTCGGGGCAGAAGGGCATGAGATTTGTGAACACGTTGGAGTTTGAGGGAGTTCACTGGCATTTCTTCGTGGGTATGCTCACCTACGGTCCTCAGCACAGTTTGTGGAGTTTGGGGGAGTTCACAGGCATTTCTTCGTGGGTACGCTCACCCACGGTCCCCAGTACAGTTCCTGGTCAAATATATTGCTTTATTTTGTTAGGTTTGGTACCATCCCTATCCAATCACTCGACAATGCATAGGCCCATCCATACCAAGTCAATCAAACTCCAACAGTTGGAGTTTGGCAGGTTTAGTACTGTTCCCCATACAAGGCCTGTTGGAGTTTGGCAGTTTTGGTACCAGTGCTTACAGACCTGTATGCAGCTGTTGAAATTTGTTAGGTTTGGTATACTTTCTAGTGCAAGAGCCTAGGGGGTTAGGGTTAAAGGATGCAACTGTTGGCGCTTGAAAATTAATTGAAAAAAGTGGAGATCCAGTACGGAAATTTTTCCTAATAACCAATCTTTGGATGTATTTAAAATATCCATTGAAATAAGACTAATGAATATTAAATAAACTAAATACCAGGTATTCATATTCATATTCATGAGGAATTAAATATTCATAATGACGTATTGCACTATCATTGGCCGGCTCATGCGTTGTCGATGTCAAGTGTAACTTACCGCTGGCGCTAAACTTCCAGACACCTCAGCATGTTCAATCACTATCATGACTATGGCCGGTAGACCCGTGAACGTGGCGTTGTATACAACGCCACGCTGTTGTGTATTTTCGAACCTAGCGAAATCGATCCGCCATACATAATTTTGTATGGATGTTGAGTAGGCTACTCACCTAGAAATCTAAATTTGCCTGTCCGCGAGTTCAGGATGTGTCATTTCGACGAAATTTGCCATCAATGAAGACCCATACGAACGTGTAGAAGTTAGATTTTTAACCTGACAAGTGACCCTGACAAATGACCCTGGACGAGTACCCAGGGTCATTTGCGTGCAAAATTATCGGAGCCCTCCGAGCTACCCGTCTGCTTCATGTGGCGCATATGATAGGCGGCGTCTGATTGGCCAATAACGAGACCACGTGATAAACGCAGCTAATAATTTGGAATTGCACTTATGATCCGGACATCAGGAGTGCCCGGAGTGTCAGTGCGATACCAAATTATCTGCAGCATTTATCACATGGTAAATCACATGCATGATCGGAGGAGGTTGCAGGACGTCGAGATCTTGCCAGATTTTACCTCGAATATCGTTTAAATGCCAGATTTGGTGTAAAAGCAGATTTCAACATGTTCAAGAAAGCTTGATATGTGAATACTTATCGCACTGTAAGGCAATGCTCAGTCTTTGTCACGGAAGGACGATTTCGCTTGGTTCAAACATGTACAAGAGCGTGGCGTACCTTTACAAGCCACGTTCACGGGTCTATATGGCCGGTAGCTCTACTGAGTGAAGCATTGAACTACGGTACCCTCCGTACAAACGCTCCACCGATTTGGTATACTTTTGTGACATGTACATGTACACGGTATGCATTTTTGTGCATGCCCTCGCGAGGACAAAAGGCCCCCAAAAAACTGGTAAAGAGAATACAAATGAGAAAGACAGTAACCCTGGATAGATCCACACATTCATGACATTCCATAAGACCCCTTAAATTGTTCCAAACAACCGGTAATTTTGAAAAAAGAACAAAATTGTCTGAACTTACCGCTCACAATTAAATGTGTCTGCCGAGTTGCACAGTCCATTTCACTGACATGACTGATACATAATTCATCGCGCGCGTGTGTGACGTCACTATTGAGGAAAAACAAGTTGCGCTTACTCAACGACTGTTGCATGTAGTCATATGTGCCCCGCGCCGTCTGACAGAGTGGGTTTTTGGCCCGGTACATACATAATTATATCAGTATTTACAATACTGTAGGCCCTACACATTACTAACAGCATTCTCTAAGTAGGGTTGTCTGGTCAAAATTCCTTCTAAAATGAAATGCCAAAAACGTAGCTTGAATGAAAGCCTTTGGAATTCTCAATATTGGATCAGTAGTTTAGGAAATTGTATTAAATTATATGCCATGAGAAATACTTTACTAAGGAGCTTGAAATTTGGTTTGTGGGTTGCTCTTGGTAGTCTTATCAAGCCTACATATTGATTTTGGGGCCGACAGGTCAAAGGTCAATCACTATTGCTATAACCATGATAACCATAACAATAGTCTTCCATTTTGGTTGGGGACACTGACTTTATGAAAACTGCCAGCATGCCAGGGGGATTGCGCAAGTCTCACTTGCAGCATTTTTAAAGGACAGTTTGTCACCGGTTTCACGAAGGGACGGGCATGTGGATTTTGAAGAAAAACCATTTTCGAGATAATCGCAAGAGAAGTTTCTCCGTTTTTAAAACTGCAAAAACTACTACTTTGCAACAACTTCTTGCAATAAGAAAACCTTGGCGTAATTCTTTGATAGGTAAACTTTAATTTGAACCTGGTAATGATAATTCATATAGTGGTTAAAAAGCCAAAATTAATTAGTAAAGATGGCCATCCCTTCGTGAAAACGAAAATCTCACATTTCCACATTTACGCCCTTCTTGTTCAACGTGTTTATCCATAGGGGCGCGCGTGTTCCATTACGCGCACGCAGCTGAGAATGTAACAAAGATGCCCGTTGTTGACCTACTTTTATGCCTTGCAATAGATTTTGTACGTGTTCAAGGGGCAGGCATGTTCGCGTCTCTTCGTGAAATCGCAAAATGCAATTATCGAGATGCCTGCCCTCGCGTCATTAACGTTATTCAGGAACTAATGATGTTTTACTTACAGAAACATGTCCCAATGCTTACTAGTGTGTGCCATGTTTTAACGCAAAATAGTGAAAAAAACTTGAAATTGAAAAAAATGTCAAGTTTGACATGCCCGTCCCTTCGTGAAACTGGTGACGAGTTGTGTGTCGGATGTTTTATCCTACATTTACTTTTAAATGTTCTTTCCGATTAACATCATTTTGTTCAAAGCGCGTTTTGTAGCCCAGATGGGCATATTCCAGGCCATAGTGTCCCTTTAAGAAACCCATTGTGGGCTGGTACAATGTAGCTAAGTTCTACTTTCACTTGCACTGAATTTGACCTTGAATGCCTGACACTGACCCTGAGCAATCCCCTGACTGAACTCCTGTAAACACACCCTGAAATAATACACATTTTCACCAGCAAAATCGGTCTTCTCTTGCTCAAAGGTCGCCGGCAGGTCAGAGTTCACCATGTGACTTCGCCACACCCAAGACCTGAGTAACTCAAGCCTGTGACGTCAAGGCTTCTCTCGGTTCGAGCAACTTGCCGACAGAACTCAT